GAGCCTCTGGTAGTTCTTCTGCCTGCTCCAGTGTGGTCCCCCTCTCACAGGAGACAGTCCTCCACAAACTTTATCCAATCTAGAGTCCCTCCCATGGGCTGCCATGTTTCCCTATGCTGCTTGGGCATGGGTCACCAACTTTCTCCAACTGGAGTCCCTCCCATGGCTGCAGCCCTTCCCCAGCTTCTCTGGTATGGGACACCCCCGCATGCTGCAATCCTCCCAGTGCTGAACTACAACAATGGGGGCTTCTTCTTTCCACAGGATCCCATCCTTCTTCAGGCACAGCCACCTTAAATGTCCGTGATGCCCCACACAGGATATATATCAGTGTCTGCTCCACTGTAGACCTTCATGGGTGGCAGGGGGGGCCGCCCTGCCGTCTCACCACACGATAAAGGGGGGTCTCTGCTCCAGCACACCTCCCCCTCCTTTCTTCCTCCGTTCCTCTACTGATTTTGATGTTCACACAGCTGCAGCAACTCCTCCTCAAAAGTCCGACTCCTCACCAGGTTCCTTCTTAAATATGGTATTGAAGAGGCACAGCTGATTGGCTCAGTTTTGGTGCAGAGTTGGGGCCAACTTGGAGCCGGGGGTGCTTCGAGAAGGTTCTCATGGGGGGGCCACCCTCCCCTGTTACCGAAAAAAACCCACCACTCAAACCCAGGACAACTATATTGCTGGTTTGAACAGGATTTGGTCTATGAAAACAGTGTAAAACTGAAATATTAATCTGCCTGGTGCTAACTCTATTTTAGCACAGGGATGTGCGAGTTTTCTACCAGAGAGAAAAATGTGAATCCCTAATCATACTGGGCACATGTTTAGGTGGAAGTTAATATGCCCATCTTGGCTAGCCTGACATGTGAACATTACAAACAGTGAAATGAGCCACCTAGAGCAATCCTCTCTTGAGCAGTACTAGCAGAACATGTATACAACATAGTGCAGTATGGGCACAGAGCTGCTATGGATACTGAAGGTTGTGCTGTATGGGTTATTGAAAGGTACAAGACGTATTTTAGATTCAGAGAAGGCAGATAGTACAATTCATCATACAGGCAACGTGTCATACTCAACCTTTTATTTTTGATGTGTAGCTCCTTTTATTTTCTTTGCTGTTTGTGCATACAGGAGAGTGTTTTATTGTATATTAGAGAAAAATAATATCATGATGTAAACACCATTAGTATCATTCATACTATTTTAAAAATGTCAAAGTTGAGGATTACTGTGGTCTTGCTCGATCTACTTTTTATGCTTTGCATGATTTTTCCGGTGTTGCAACTTGCTCCCTACACATTTATGTATAAAGGAGTGTGCTAGGTACAGGAAAGACATGGACTTTTTATCCAGATGGAGGTTTCAGAGACTGGGGTTGTCTCTAGATAGCAGTCTGCACAGTCTGCACACCATGTGGTAACATGGAAGAAACTTAAAGTGAAATTCATGAAGGAAGGTGGAAGGGAGATAGACAGTGGGGTTGGCACAGCAGCAGTTCCTCAGCTACAGTCAGTTTCTGTGCCTTAAAATTATGTTTCTGTCCTTTTTTTGCTTATAGCTTTCTGTATATAGTCTCAAATTTTGCTCTTAACACTGTTGTGGGATTTCGCTTCTTTTCCTCTTTTTGTCTTAGAAGATGACTGCACACTCCATTCAAAGCAGGGAATTTGCTCAGTTAGATTTTATAGGACTGTTAGTAATACCAGTAGGCCCTCCCCTTCTGCCATCCTGAAGGATGAAATCTCAGGAACCTCCCAACACATTAAAAGGGTCCCAAGACAATAGTAACTGTGCTTAGAATGGTGGCAAATGAAATTGAAGGCATTTCATTTATTTTTATCTAGGTTTAATTGTATTGACTGGAGTCATTACCACTCTCAGCTGCTGACCCTTGCCTATGTAGTTTGAGGTTACTACTCCAAAGGCTGCGCTGAAGATGTACTGGGCAAGATCAGTAGGTTTTGCTTGTCCTATACTGTTGCTTGTTTAGGCTAACCTTGCTGGCTTTGATGGCAGCTGATGAGCTCTTTAGTGACTCCTTTCACCAAGTGAACTCTGAGGATGGTAACCTTCAGCAGGAAGAACAGTGCAGTGCTGTTTTCTACAATGAGCACTGCAGTTTAGAAAGTGAATGTATATGCATGACTTACTAACATTTGTGTGTCCTGGGTTTGAGTGAGTGGTGGGGTTTTTTGGTAGCAGGGGAGGGGGCTATAGGGGTGGCCCCCTGTGAGGTGTGCCGGAGCAGAGACTCCCCTGTATCCTGTGGTGAGACGGCAGGGCACCCCCCCTGCCACTCATGAAGATCTACGGTGGAGCAGACACTGATTTATGGCCTGTGTTTTTCGCATGGTTGATCAAGGTGCTGTGCCCAAAGAAGGACTGGGTCTTGCGGGAAAAGGTAGTCCCCATTGTTGTAGTTCCGCGCTGGGAGGATTGCAGCATGTGGGGGTGTCCCACACCAGAGCAGCGAGGGAAGGGCTGCAGCCTGTGGGAGGTAATCCAGTTGGTGACCCACATCGGAGCAGTGTAAGGAAATGCTGCAGCCCGTGGGAGGGATTCATGTTGGATAAAGTTTGTGGAGGACTGTCTCCTGTGAGAGGGGGACCACACTGGAGCAGGTGAAAGAACCTCCAGAAGCTGCTCCCACCAAAGATGGAAGAAGTGGCAGCACTGACTGCACCCCCCATTCCCTGCCCACTGTACTGCTGGGGGGAGGAGGTAGAGATGTCGGGAGCAGAGTTGAGCCTGGGAAGAAGGGAGGGGTGGGGGCAAGGTGTTCTCAAGATGTGGCAATGCTTCTCACTGTCCTACTCTGTTAAGTGTTGTTAGTGTCTGTAATAAATGTATGTTATTTTTTTCTACCCCTAACAAGTCTGGCTTTTGCTCATGACCATAAAGGGAGATTTTCCCCTCCTGGTCCTACCTCGAACCCCAAACCTGGCTCTCCGTCCCTTCTCATTGCCGGAATAGAAGGGGGAGAGAGTGGTTGCGTGGTGTTTGGCTGCCGACCAGGCTTAAACCACAACATTGTGATACCAGACCCATTTGGCCTTTGAGGGCATGGGAGAAGTAGTTTGGGCTTGCATCTCATATAATCCCAGGCTGCTTTATTTTGCTGTGGACATGTAAAAATGTTTTTAAATAGAAGCAGTGCAAGACTGGCTAATTACAGTGCTATTTGATACTCTTGAAAATAATAATTTGACCCATGAGAATTTTTTGTGGGAAGGAAGTTGACAGTGGGATGTATAAGATTTAAAGGTGAAAGAGAAAAAGAAATGAAGCACATTAATTAACCAAGTTCAGTGGTACACTTTCATATATTGACATGGATGAAATTGGGAAGGTGAAAGTGAATTAACCTATTACATGGACTCACGCAGATAAGAGACACAGTATGGCATAGACTTTGTTAGTTTCAAATCCGTGCGTATAATGTAAGGGGAAATCTTATTTCATGGAAGGGCGGAATTTGATTATGTCTCTGTGTATTGTTACATGTAATGAACTGTGAAACAAGGCTTCTCTACCTGTGCCTTACAGGCTTGCTGAAATGATTATGTGTGATTAAAGAAAGTGCATGTATGCACATTTTATCCATTAGGATTTGTTTGAAACATAACCCAAGTGATTCCTGACAAATACATACAACAGAAGGTAATCACACTGTGCTGGAAATCACTGAGTTCCAAACATTCTGGTTTTCCTCTTTCCATTTTTTTTTTTTATGGCAGAGCGGGCTAAGTGCTGTTGAAGACTTTTCTTTCCAGTTCTGTCATGTGGTATTTTTTCTATAACTTGAGGGTCTTCCTAGGCACATAAGGTGTTTAACAAATAATGTTTGATCTATGGTATTTTCCTAAAGCACTCAGACTGTGTGATGGAGAACAATATTGACCTTTTAATGTCCAGACTGTTGGGAGAATGATGTGATAAACAATGGAAGTATCATGCTTAAACAGTTGAGAGTGGTGAAGTAGACATTTTAGAATACATTTACAGTTTTTAATTTTTTTGTTCATACTTGAAGTTTAAAAATAAGGCTTCAAGGAAGGGGAATCCCAGTCATTTGTATTGTGGTGCAGTATGTTGGAAAATTTGCACTGTAAAACTATGAAAAGTATTTGAGACTGCAATACTGTGGTCCTAAATTGTGGTTAATGTGCCAGGCAAGTATGAAACAGATCGATGTGAAATAAAATAGTGCCTGTTGACAGTCAACAGGCAAGTGGAACAACAGCCAAATGAGTGCTGCTTCTTCACCTGAGCTGTATACCACCACTGGCCATTCATTAGGTTGGTTGGCAGAGACCTGCCTGAAAATAGGTAATTTACTATGGCTGGGTAAAGCGGAGAATTTTCTTATTTTCTTTTTGGCTCTAAGAGAAGTGTATTGTCAAGGCTGTCTGGGTAAAGGTACAACTGAGGTTTCCAGATCAGTCCGGTGATTCTAGACTTGTTCAGTAATTTTGTATTTACTTCTAGCTCATGTACAGAGTCACATTGACAGTTGTAGTGCATAGAGATTCAGAAACCCTGACTGGTGAAATTTGTTCCCTGTGTAGCTGGTGAGGTTTCTTTCTTTCTTCATCAAAATACACATTCTTTTTTCTTTATTTTGTAAAACAGTTGATAAATTTGTTTTTTAAAATAGCAGTACTGTAGAAGAAACTTTTTCATACTTATTTACCTCTACCATTCTGTTGGAGTACTTCAAGCTGCTATGCTGATATGAGCAAAAGAATTTTAGGCAGAATATGGAAAATAATTTTAGATTATTTTCTTCAATTTCTTCCAAGTTTTATGCTGCTAATTCACAAATTTACATCAATTATAAATATTAAATATATTTTTTCCTTTTAAGATGTCTTTTTAAAATTTCAAATGGGGATTTCAAATATTTTTAACAAGCAATTGGCCTATTATGATGCACGTGAATGAGGAGGAGGTTTCTGCTGTGTCTGTAAATCTGTGTTGACATCAATCTTTTTCAGGTAAATATTACACCTTCCATACATAGCACTGGTGAATTCCCCCAGCTTCTCCATCATGGCATGAATGTGGGGTCCTTGCCACATAATGAGTCATATTTGTTGGCTCAGCAGAATGGCAGCCCAGCTAATGTGCTAGAAGCATCGATGAGATCCATTACTTCTCAGATTAATGGGAAGTCCTCTAGTGATGACTTTGAGCAGCTGGTCAGAAATATGTCCCAGGTAAGCATGTCTATGAAATGTGGATCACAGATTATCTGGAAGATTAAAATAAATGTATGTTTATTTAAAAGCAGTTGAGTTATTAAGCAAACCAAAACTCTTTTGCTATATAAAACAAAAATAGCCTTTTAATTTGAAGAACAATTGGTAAATGAGAAAACAGTTGGAAAAGTAGCCTTGACGTTGTCAGTGCGAAGTTGTTGTCCTTAGCTGGGCAGTGTGCCTCTCACAGATCAGCATGCTGTTATCTTCCCATGCTCATTGTAGGATTGCCGCTCTGCACATGAGGGAAATGCTTATCAGAGCATGCTCTTGTATGCATAACTAATAGAAGCTTGTTGTGTGACTTGCTTGGAAATAAGATGGAAAATTACTTTTTGGTCTTGCTATGCATTCTGTAGTCTTACTGCTTTCCTGTGGTAGGCAGAAATGGTATATGAGTCCCTACAGTGGCTGTAGGTGAGTTATTATCAAGTGTAGCCTTGTCCAGCTGTAGCTGTCAAATTAGAAGCTCATTTACAAGTTGTTTATCACATTCATTAATGCTGCTTTTCAACATGTACCTTTTTTTTTTCCCCTTACTGAACAGGGTCGCCTTGTTGAGACCATTGAGCTTATTAAACCTTTAAGTGGTGGTCTAGGCTTCAGTGTTGTGGGACTAAAGAGTGAAAACAGGGGAGAACTAGGAATATTTGTGCAAGAAATCCAGGAGGGAAGTGTGGCACACAGGTGAGATTACTATTAGAATATTTAGTGTACCGAGTGTTACATGACACTGCAATTTAGTTCTGTTACTGCTCTTGTTTTTGTGGTACAACAGCACCCTTCTCCCATATTCTAAGCCGTACATCGTAGCACATTTAGTATTACTTATCACTACAATTTATGTAATGTTGGAACAGGGCAGCATATGATCTGTTCTGAATTTCTAGAAACTACAGATGTAGTTTCTCTATGGTTTGCTTATAATATCTCCTTTCTACCAGGGAAAACAGGGAGGTTACTATTCTGAGTCATGGCTTTTAAAGCTGAAGTACAGATTTTTGCCTCCTTGAATGCATTGAAAAACAATTCGGTGGAAAAAAAAATGGTTGTAACTAGCAGGCTTGTTTATTAGGTAGGATCCCGCTGACCTGATATGAACCTCAGGTTTTAAGTCAAGACAGGCTTGACTTAAAGTTTTTGGACTTTTAAGAACAGATATTAAGCTGATATTACCAGAAACTCAGTGGTAATAGTAGCCTGTTGAAAGTATGCTTTAGACTTTAATCTGGATTCCACAAGCAGTGTTGAGTGAAATGGATTTCTGCTGTGAGAACAGTCCAGGGGAGCAAATAAACTCAGTGGTGAACGGCAGCAGCGCTGGTTCAGTGCAGACTGGTGGGGTGCATCACTGTATGTGCATCTGCTGATCAGGATCCTGGCCAGAGCTGCTTCGTGGTGTACTCTGTATGTTGTGTGGGGCTGCTGAGTCGTCCCAGTGCTATTTCTCACTGTGCTGTAGGGAGAAATATTCCAATTATTTGTGGTTTGAACATTGTCCTTTTAACTGAGAGCAGAGTGTGGCCTACAGAGTTGATTCAGTTACGAAAAGTGGCATGCTCTATGTCATTACAATATTTAAAAATCTGCCTAAATTCCACTTTTTTTTTTTTTTTTTTTTTTAACCTTTGCGAGGTTTTTGCTTTCACTTCTCTTATTCCATGGAGTTAAGACCTGTCTTGACTGAATCAGGCTGTGCCTGACTCACTGGTGAGAAGAGAAACATTCAGCAGCTGTTACAGGGCTCATAAATCAGAAAGGCCCTGGCAGTAGTAAGTCTTTGAGAGCACTCTGAAAAGCAGTTCAAATTCACAGGTGAAATACTATGGGTTGAAGCTAAATAGTGTTTCTTCTGAACGCTGTTCAGTACCTTGGCTTTTACGCTGCAGGTGCTCACAAAAGCTGGTGTAATAGGGGTGCTCATTTTTGTAGCTGCCCTTTGTTTTCAAAGCATTGTCATTTTGGGATGTTGGAGACAAGACACCAGAATTTTTGCTGGTTTGTTGCAGAAGCAATAGAAGCAGTGGAGGAGGCAGAGGGTAACTCAACTCTATAGGCATCATACATTTCCTTTGACGTAGGTCTGGGGAAGGGCTCAGTATGTAATTTTAGAGTAGTGCTTCTTTTATCAGAAAGTGAGGAGTTATTTTTTAATTTGTAATTTGTTCAGGGCTTTTTTCCCCCTCCTTTAGAAGAGATCTGTTTTATATTTTTCTTTCTGTTTCTCTTTCTAACTCCCCTTCTTGTTTTCCTTTTTTTTTTTTTTTTTAAACATTGGTTTTGTGCAAAACAAAATTTGTTTCTTTAACATCTTGATGAAAGTGTGTTGCACTCCATGGTTTGATGAATGTTCAGAATGGATGCACTGAACAAAGTGGAGCACTTGGTCTGTTAAGCAAGAGGCTCAAAGTCAAGAATAAACATAAGTTCCCAGGCTATGGTTGGGAGCAACTGAGATCTAATATGCTTAGTCTCGCATGGGGGTACAGAGAGAAGAAAGCTAGCTAGGGGGGTAGTAGCTAGGGAAGAGTGGCAGTGGGATTAGCTTCAAAGGAAGCGATCACTAGGATGCCGCATCAGCTCCTTTCAGCAAAACTGTGGGGAGGGATTAAGAAGTGGAGGAAGTAGAGAACGTGTTATTAAAAGTACTGGAAAATTGTCAAAATATTGTAATTTCTGTGGCAACACTTCCTTGATTTTTCTTGTTTGTTTATTTTGTCATCCCCCCTCTCCCTGTTTACACATGCGTGACAGAGATGGAAAGCTGAAGGAAGCAGATCAAATCCTTGCTATTAACGGACAAGCCCTTGATCAGACAATTACACATCAACAGGCTATCAGCATTCTACAAAAAGCAAAAGATAATGTCCAGCTAGTTGTGGCCAGGGGCACTTTGCCTCAGCTCATCAGTCCTGTAGTTTCCCGGTCTCCATCTGCTGCTAGCACAGTTTCAGCCCATTCCAACCCGGTGAGTATACCCCAAATGTCTGTGTATTCAGTTCTGGGCATGTACGCGCTTACTGCATCTAGTATTTTGAGACATTTTTTCTAACTTGTATGTACATTTACTTTAATCGTTAGCATTACTTTAATCATTATATTTTCTGAAGAAATTTCAGAATTATTCTTTTCTTCTGTGTGCAGGAATAAAGCTGATTGGCCTAACTTTTCCTGTCAGCCCATAGGAGAGGCCTGCTCTCTTCCAGTATTCCTGTGACAAACTTGTTTTTCAGTGTGATTGCCTCCATATTCTCTGAACAGCTTTCTTTGCTTGAAAAAATGTTCCTTTCAAACCTGACACGGCTCCTTCTGTTTTTTTATGCATGCCTTTCCCAGTCCTCGTGTTCCCTTCTGTTTCAAGTGCTGGGGCAAAGCAACTTATCGGGAGCCATTCTTTCTCCTTCAGGCTTTGCTTGATCATCGTTGGTTTATGTTAAGACTGCGGATTCCCAAACAGTTACTACAGGGCTTTGAATTTTCAGCACCTTGATTATTTCAAATTAACTGCTTATTTTCAGGATCCTTCCTGGTGGAGCACCAGCTGTGGTTTTAAATTTCAGATGAATTTATGGTAGGGTTTGTTCTTAAGGAGAAATAATACCAGGAGCTTCTAGCCCTCCCTTCAGAACTGCCCCATGCGAGTGAGGTAGCGTGTCTTTCAGAGCCATTTTGCTCCTGTCAGAACATGAAGCCTTCCATCAGAGCTATTTCATTCCAGTGCTGGTTGACATCAGACAACACAGAAATCTTTGCTCATTACATAGGGGGCAATTCTACTAATACCTACCTTGAAATACCTGGAGCTGCTTTCAGCCTTAACATCTGAATTGGGCTTATGCTTTCTCCTGTACTTTCTTATGATGGCCAGTATTAACATGCACTTACCTAAAGATTTTAATTTCCAGTCCTGTGAGATTTCCTAGCAGCAGTATTTTTCTCACTGACTGCAATAGGACATGGGGGGTGGACAGTCCTAGGTTGCTGCTTAAATTCATTCATCAAGTTCTTGAAAGGCCTGACCCACTACCCAACTGGTTTGTACTGGAGAAATTCCAAATGTTATGGAATGAGCAATTTATTACTTAAATATTATGCAATCTTATCCCTAATAGTATTTGCCAGAAAGGTCCCATATTCCAAGGTTCCTCCCATCTTCCTTTATTCAGAAGCGTACCCGAGAAATAAGAGAAACTATTTTGCAAGTTTTAACATGTATGTCCTTATTTTAATCATTTGTAAGCTTATATTTATTCCCTTTAGGTTCACTGGCAGCATGTGGAGACTATTGAATTGGTGAATGATGGTTCAGGCCTGGGGTTTGGGATAGTGGGAGGAAAGTCAACTGGAGTGATTGTCAAAACCATCCTCCCAGGAGGAGTGGCTGATCAGGTAAATTCAACCCACCCTTCTGTTTACCCTTCAGTGGGGTGTGAGGTTACTATTTACTTTTATAATCATGCTAAGTACTGGTAGCTTTTTTCCTCGTAAATGTAAGAAAGAGGGAGTGGTGAAATTTATCCTCAGTAAAGGTGTGTTTAATGCAAGGGATCTGTACAACTGAATACAAAAGCTGGATTAGGCACTAAATCACATTTTCAAACCCGTTACATTCTATATGTTTGGTGCAAATGCATTTAGAATCCTAATTCTTTCATGAATATACTGGTTATCATCCAGGGGTGGGGGACACACACCAAACACTACTTGCTCTGCCCCGACAGCTCAGAAGAGCATCTGCTTCTGTCTGCTGGGTTTACTGAAACCTGGAGCAAGTGTATGGCTTCAGTAATCTACTTCAGGACATGGACTCTGCTCTTGCCTGAATGGCTCATGCAAATTGAATTTGGTGATCAAAGCTCATTTCAAGCTTGTCCATTGGATAAATGCCTAGGACTTCATTAATGACGGTCAAGGATTGAATAAGGACAGAGACTGGTCAGTCTTCCAACCACAGAAGTGGTGGCCTGATAACAGGGCCTGGAGATTCATGAACAGAATTTACTGATGCACTCTTTCCCTGAGCAGGCAGATGTGTTCATTTTACAGACCTGCCTCTTTAGTACTTTTCATATAAGCTAAATTCACGTGAAGCTTTTTTATTGATTAAAGGTAAATCATTAGGAGAGTAAACCAGTGTAAAGCAATATAAATAACTGGATCACAGTAAAGGAGTAGTGTATTTTATTTTCAAGCTATGATTAATCCTGAGGACCAGTTTTTAAATGGAAGTGCAAAGCTGAATATATATTTGTATACTGTCTTTTGGAAGTGTGTTTGGAAATGAAACCTGAGGTTCAGTCTACATGCAGTTATTAAATATCAGTATGTAGTAACCATGACTATGTGAATTTTTTTCCATGCTTGGATGACTGACTGCTTGAAAAAGGATGTCCTAGATATTTCTGGGAAATTTCTAGTAAAATTAGTATTCTGTTAGGCATACCTACTTCTATTCTCCCTGTTTTCAGGATATACTGACTTGACACCCAAAAAAAGCCACCTGACTAATACGTCTTAAAAGTGACTAAAGCTATGTGTTCTTTTTTTAGTTGTATGGTACATGGAAGAAATGGCAGGATGCTAATAGAGTTTTTTCATCATTATTCTTCCTCCAGCATGGGAGATTGCGTAGTGGAGACCACATCTTGAAAATTGGTGATACAGACCTAGCTGGAATGAGCAGTGAGCAGGTGGCACAAGTTCTGAGGCAGTGTGGAAATCGGGTGAAACTGGTAGTTGCAAGAGGTCCTGTTGAGGAACCACTTCCACCAGCAGTCCCTCCAGGTACACCAGTACCCATCTCCATACCAGAGAAACAGGTAAGCAGCAGTGAATATGCTTAACCCATGGAAAACTTTTACTTCAAAATTCCTTTTCTTTACTGCTATTTGAATGTCTTTCACGCTTATGTTCTCCAAAGCCAGGATTTTCTTTCCCAGTAGCGGTGTTCTTAGCAACAGTTTGGGAGAATTTAAATGTCATGAGTCCACAATGCAAGGAACTATATGCTTGAAGCCTTTTGGGATCAAGGCTTAGGATTTTCATAAGTATGATCTGAATAACGTCTGGTTCTGGGTTGTTTGTGATTGTGCAGTAATACATGGGGAGCAACTGAAGCCATGCAGTTTTTTCTTCAGACAGAGCAAGCTGGCTTTGTAGCATTTCTCTGTCCAGTCATCCTTATCCTGTCTGGGAACATTTCTTATTTCCATATCATTGCAGCCATCCATCAGACAGTTCCTCCCTGCACAAACCAGCACACAGATGCTGCTCCTTTCCTACATCACCTGGCATTGCTCATTTGCTAGGCATCTTCCAGCAAAAGTCAGCCAGCTGCTACTTTTATTCCCCTGCTGATGATTGTACTCTCTGTGCTGTTACTCCTCTACAACTGTCAGCCACTTAAAAAGTGCTGTAAATATCATGTTCTGCCAGATCAAAACCTCTACAAAATAGGTCATTTGCATGTCTGCAGCAAAGCCTGGTTTCACAGGAGCCAGGAAAAGTAGTGTTTTTCACATATAGTTATGACTAGTTACATTTAAATGTGAATATGTGAAGTAAGTAAATGGGAAAAGAAAAAGCTGGTTGTTTTTGAGCCTGCAACTAGATAGAATTTATTCCTTAGAAATATTTTTTTTGTTTTACTTTTTGTGTTGTATTTCTAGACATTTTCTTCCCAGTTACAAATTACATTTCAATTAGGTCACTTTGAAAGAAAAAAGCCTTAATGATTTTTACACGATTACCGTTATTTTGCCTCTGTCCTTTGTAGTGGTGTCTATGGAAGACAAACATGTATTCATCTTCTCTTTTGTGGCTATAAGGCAAAGAAATTTAATCTTAACATGGAGTCTTCTGAGCATCGAAGAGGAGAGACAGACCAGTACTTTTGTGTCTCTACGGCACTTAGACATGTGAAAACCTGGCTGTATTTTAGATAAAGGGATCAATATTTAGCCCAAATAATATCTACTGCAAAAACAACAGTCTCAAAAGAGAAGCTGAATTTGATAGTTTAATCTGTATATATTTCTTCAGTATTTGTATTTCTGAGGTTCTGTGATGCAATGTTGAAGGCTGTATCTGCAACTGAAGGATGTGTAAAATTTCTATTACCGAGGAAATATCTCAAAGCCACCATGTGGCAAAATGTGACTTTTTTGCCATCTTCATTTCCATTTCTATCCTTTTGTATACCTTGTTCCTGGTACATCTTTCCTGTCAGGAGAAAGGCTTATTTTTAAACTGCTTCTCCCTGAACAAAGTCTTGTTCTTGGAGGGAGCACCCAGTTAATGTTACTGCAAACCTCATTAGTTTGGGGCTGGAGTGAGGGTGATGATGGAAACATCTTAGTTTGTTTGTGTCTTCCTGACAAAAACAGGAGGGGTAAAGACTTCATGATGCTCTTATATCTATTAGTGAGAGCAGAATGGCTTTCCAAAATGGTCACTTCTCATCATGTCTCCTGTAAATATTCATCCTGTAAAAATTCATAAGCTTATAGAAATTGGAGCAGTTTTTTAGTGGCACTACTTGTGGCCAAAATAATCCTGTATTATCAAGCAGAGAGGTAGTTAAAGCAGTAGAAATGTATTTTTCTTGTGTTTGATTGTGTTTTGGGTGGAGTTGTTCAGATAGAGAACTGCAGTCATCTTCTCATTTGACAGGCTGCATCACAGTTTTCTGAAGTCTTTCTCTGGCACATGCATACTCACCTAGTCAAATTGGGTTTAGCTAGTATCTGCCTGGTTGCCATATTGGCATTTTAAAAAATACTATTTGTTGCTATTTGTCATGCAGAAGGAGACAGAATAAAATAAGAGTATAACAGGATCTTGATAGATTTTTGCTATATTTATGAATTTTCATTTTAAATATGTGCATAAATATTGATGTCCATACAAATACAATGAAATTGAAGCCTTGTATATGTAATAATACATTGATATATATCAGCAATGGAAGTGGCTAGTGACTACCTGTTTTAGCTGAAAGATGAGAAATTTAAATTAAAAAAAACGTTTTAAAAAAGTTAAAATTAAATTTTATAAATTGATTTTTTCTTTTAATATGAAAGCAATATTGCTGAAATGGGATTTTAATATGTATTGTACTTTCATTAACAATAAATAAATGAATACATTACTCCCAAAATTCTTTGTTATTGAAATTCAGAGGACTGTAGTAGATATTAGTGGTGATTTAAATTATTTAACTATCTGGAAGTATAATTGCTACTTTCTGAAACAGAGTTTTTAAGTCTTTCAAAACAAGAAACATAATTGGCTCACTAATAACAGCTTTTATTATGTTTTAAACTGGCCAGGCATAGGAAAAAGTAGGTATAATTATTAGACAGGAATTTAAACAAATAAAGCACAAAATATAATTTCAATCTGTTTTTCTTCTTTTTAATAACACAGCAGTCTAAAGCTGGTTCTGAGGAGATCCCAGAAGGGCAGTAAGCTATGTGTTCCAATGTTTAGACATGGTTTGTGTAACTTACTGTACAAGATGTTCATTGTTCAATTTGTCTGAATTTCACCAGTCATTTTAGTAATCAAATAATGATTTTATAGGTTAGATATTACAAGGCTAATATCCCAGGGCCATCAGGGCAGGAAGGGCATGACCGGCATTTCTCAACAGTGAGGAGTGTTACCTATGTCTAGTTTCTCTGCTGAACACCTAGTAAGAGGAGAAGCAAAGTTATTACTTTAGTTTTTAGATACCTGTCTAATTTTGCATATTAATGACATAAAACAATGTGGTGGTGTTAATGACGTACAAGCAAAAAAGCTTCCTTTCTAATAATTCTTTTCTTATTAGGCAGATGCTTCTGTCGATAGCTGTGAAGATGGGGAGAAATTTAATGTTGAACTCACTAAAAACAACCAGGGATTAGGAGTAACTATTGCTGGTTACATTGGAGATAAAACATCAGGTATGATCGATTCCTGCAGTTTACCATACAACCTGTTGTGTGCTCTGATGTATGTGCATCAAAGGCTTAATTTTGGATTTCATATAGCATCTCTAAATAAACCCTTGACCATCTAAAATTTTTTGCAAAGTTTGTAAAGAAGAAGAATGTATTATCCTTTTGTGAGAAGGACATTCAGATTAGAAACAATCATTTTTATTATAAAATCCCACCTGAGCATTTTTAAATCAATTTTTGTATTCACTTGTGGCTAAAGTTTGTGCTTACATGTTTTTGCAAAACAAATATAAAATAGATGAATCCATTTTCATTAGAGCTAGCTGGGCTTTTTAAATTACTTATTAATTTTTAAAAGGCTTTTACAAGATAATACATTAGTATTCTGAGTAGTTTTAGGAGGTATTATTATGGTTGTTTAAACAATGTATATAGTACTGTTGGCAGATCGAGAATTCCGTAGTGACTTCTGAATATAATAAATGTTTGTTGACCTTTGTGTTGTTGCAGCCAATACAAATTTAAACAAAGAAAAGCTATGGTTCATGTTCATGTACAGTTGTGTATTTTTACATTGTAGTTTCCACTGTATTTTTCAGAAAAATGATCCAGAACTCTGTTAGTCTTCACTATGGGAAAATTGGCAAATGCAATACTGCTAGGAAGGGACAGTTGTCAAATGTGTTGTAAAACTTCTTAAAGAGCTTTTGGGTTGACTTTTACCTATGTATATATTGTTAGAAAAATGTACAGATAGATATATCCCATGTTATTGGCAGTTTATAGACATAATTTGTTGGTTTTGAGAAGCTAGACTAAATTTTAACAATTTGTTCCATAGACCAGGATGGTCTTAGTTTGTGTAAGTCCACTCTTTATCATCTTTCAGTTGAATCTTTAAAAGGCAATTTAAATTGTAGAAGAAGTGATAGGTCTGATAGCATATTTTAACTGATTTATTGTTGGAATATCACTAGTCTTTATTTTAAATTGTTGTGCTGCATGTAACTGTATTAGAAAATATTATTGCTTTAGGAATTAATTGGGCATCTCACTTAGTTTTGTGACTTAAGACTTAGTTAAAGAAGAACTTTGCTGTCAGAGAAACAACAATAAAACTGGACAACAAGATCTGTGGCTGAATCTTTTATGAATGGCAAATAGAAATTTGTCATATTGCTATACAGCTGTTACAGGATCTAAAAACACTTGGAAGTTAATAAGACCAGCTATTTAATTATTCACAAAACCTCAGAGAAAAACAAATTAAGAAAAAAACAGAAAAGAATTGTCAATGTCATGACTTAAGTACATTTGTAGTCTTATTCTTCCTAAGCTGAGTATAGTAATTAGAGCCAAGCATAGCTTTTAGCCATCTTTCCTGCTAACTTTTGTCATATTGAGGCCCAGTAAAAGATGAATTTCAGGTCTGCAAAGGCACTGGGGTGTCTTGACAGCTGTTAAAATCCATTTTGTAGTGTACTATTTTCCCATTGAATGTATTAATTTAACAGAGTTGGAATATCTGCTGAGAGAAGGTAGATTCTGTTAAGATTTCTTATACCAGTGTTACAGGTCTGTGACCGTCAGACCTAATTTCATGCCAGTTCATGCTAGTATTTTTCTTCATTTCATGTGTAGTATGCAACATGTGCATATAGGTACTCCATAGCTTTTCACTTTACTGAGCTGTTGAAGTTTCAAATTCCAGTGTTTTTCCTGAAATGGATTTCTTTTTGTAAAATGTCCCATCTGTAGGTATTTTATATATATGACTTTTCCTTCTGATTCAAAATTGGTAACTGTCTGAAATGGTTCTGTTTTGGGGTTTGTTTTTGACTTTTATGTCTTTTTTGGTTTTAATTATTGACTCAAATATCGACTTACATCTGTAGTTAAAAGATGGTTCAAATGTAAGTTGTAGTCCTGCTTACTTATAATTTTCTGCATTTGGCTATCCAAACATGCATTTTATTAAGCAGGTATTAAGTACATAGAAAATACAGAATTTAGTTAGTGAACTCAAACTGGATTTTCTGTCCTGCATTTTTAAATCTGACCAAAAGTCAGAAATATGTTTTCTGTTGATTTTGGTTTCAACATTTAGATTAAAGTAAGTTAGAATATGTCTTCTTTTGCATCAAGAATTGGGAATTTGGCATTGTATTTTGAGTGAAATCTGGTCCAATGCAAGCTGACATGAATCAGGCTCATCCTTTAGGAAAAGAATAATATATATGTTTTACTTGAAGCATATACTTTCTTGATGATTCTTTCCTTATCTTACCCGGATGGAGATTGTGTTTTCTTTCTTTTTCTCCCTTTGGCTGGTGGCATCAGTTGGAACATTGTTGCATTATTTCAGTGGATTCTTAATAAATTAGTTAATCTAATTTTCTCTGTTTCTTCATCCAAGAACCTTCTGGTATCTTTGTGAAAAGCATTACAAAAGGCAGTGCTGTTGACCATGATGGCAGAATCCATGTGGGAGATCAAATTATAGTTGTAAGTAAACACGGAAAGAAATGAGATTGCTTTTCTGTGAAACTCTACTTCTTTAAGTGGTAAATAAATGCTCATATAGTACTTGTTTAAAATATTTGGGACTGATGTTGAAATTGTAAGTCCTTTTCTTGGCCGAGTCTTCGATCTCATTATCTTTCTGATTATGCTACCTGTGTGAAACTTGTGTTTCTTAAGAAAATCTCTGTCGTATGTATGTATCTTATCAGTAGGAGCTTTGAGACTGCTTAGTAAAGGCAAAGTTTCAGAGTCTGATTCAAATTAAGCAACTGTTTTCAAAATGATTTTTAAAAGAAGGAAGTATTTTCATCTGTAAAATGTTACTTGTGTTGTGAAAATCAGATTATGAATGCAGGAATGTCTTTTTTTGTGGCTGTCACAGATCTGTCCTTGCGTTTGTGTGAAGGCAAGACTAAGAACAAGCTATAGTCTCTCTTCAAGAACAAATATGTCTGCAAGTTTGTATGTGGAAGTACATATGGTTTTTATAATTATTACATGCTGAGTACAAATGGCAAAAATTGGTAACTCTGAAGCTTGATTTCTGCTTCTTCTGCAGATGCAGAAGGAGAAGAACATTTGAGCAACCTCAGACAGAAGAATAATAAACATTTTTTTAATATTGTTCGCTTAAGTGTGGAGGAAAAATTAAATAATCCATATTTCTTTGTATTTAGAAGCGCACCAGAACTGGAGGAAGTACAGAGAAGGGCAATAGAATGATTAAGGGCCCAAGGAGAGTCATTCTTCATTCAGGAGGAATAAAAATAATGGAATATGTGTGTTGTGTAGGTAGACTGAAAGAACTACAGGAGTCAAGGAATATAATATTGTTATAAGTATTTCAGAAATTAAAGGCACTGAGGGGTGAGACAGAGAAAGAATAAGATAAAAGGGAGTTTGCAGGGAGGAGAATAAAAAGTGGCATGTACTAGGGGTAATGGGATGAAATTGAGTAATGACAAAGTCTTGAGTTTCAGAAAAAAACCCTGAGTTAATGACATGATTGTGTAGTTTCAAATAGAAGAGGCCAAAATCTCGTTCTTTAAAATATTAAAATGTTGGACCGGAGATAACATCTGGCTGGCTGGGACAAGGTTTGATTGGGAAATTGGACTTAACAGTGTTCAGTAGTAGACTCCACTGTGTCTGAGGTTACTTGGCCTCAGAAGAGCTGCACTCTTTATTTCTTCCTACAGCAGTGTCTCTCCTCACCGTCCCCTCCCCAGCTCTGCTGGCCATGCCTGTGTTGGTTTATTCACCCAGCATTTTGTCCTTGGAGGTGAGGGTGGCTGAGGCGGTTGAGTAGGCAGGCTGCACAACATGCCTTGCACAGCCCATGGTGCACCCTCTCCCACCTCGCAGAGCAGGTCTGCCTGGTCCCACTGTGGTGGTGAGCACCCAAAGCGCTTCTCCCCACTTTGCTGTGGTACTGGTTGTTACCTCACTGTGGGTGGAAGTGAAAGTGATTAGTGTATCCAATGTTGTTAAGTCCAGGTTTTTTTTCTTGTCCTTCTGCTTGCTTTGTGCTCAGGCTAACAGATGCTGAGACTTCACCATATTATTTTGCCCTGGACATTTTTTTTTCTGGGCGGTGTGTTGTGGGCTGAAAAGCTGCTTAATCCTGCAGGTGGATGGAACAAATCTTCAGGGTTTCACTAACCAGCAAGCAGTTGACGTTTTAAGGCACACGGGACAAACGGTTCGGCTCACTTTGATCAGAAGAGGGCTTAAGCAGGAAAATCATATTCAGCCCCAGGAGGACTTCAGTGCTGCTGTTGAAAAGGACATACTGTTCCAAACAAAGGATAGTAGCACAGCCAAAGGTAACTAAAACTGGCTTTGCTTTAAAGTTGGCTTGAAACATTTTTCTTCCCAATTTCAAACTGGAAATAAAATGGGCCACATTCATGATGGCAGAGCTGTTGTACATGGGGGGAGAATTTGGTCTACTATGGTTTGATTAATCTTTTAGACATAGTTGTATCATTTGCTACATTTTCAATGTGAGTGTTGAAAGCTTCGCACTGCTTTGCACTTCTGGCTGAATTGCTTCAAGACTTTGAGCCTGCAAATCTTCAAATAGTAAAAAGGCAGTGAATGTTTTATTTGTGCTTAGGGGTGAGAGCTGCATTCAAGATCAAGCAAAGAGGTACCCTTCACAATGACCAAAAGCAAGTCTCAGTTCCTTTCACTCATGTGTGTCAGTGTCACAAGGTTGAGGTATGAGAGGAGTGGCCTATATCTAGAGGTTATTAATAATCTGATATGACATTAACTATCTATGTGTATAAAGTTCAGAAACCAATGACCAATTTTGTTGCTAATGAGATGAGATTAGTGAAGCTTAATCTTATTCTGTGCATATCTTGAAGTATATGTGCCAGGTGTTGAAAGTCTGTGTTTGAAGAGAATATCTGCACAGAGGCTGGATGCACAGATTTTTTTCAGCTACTCATGTTATAGCTTGATGTCAGCAGAAATATGTCACAACTCATAGAGTGAGGCATAATACCCACCTTGCTCAATATTTTGAAAGACCTGGAAGTATGTTATCTGTATGGCATCCTCTCTTTCCCACCTTTAGCAAAAATTACAAAGGAATTGCTCAGAAAGTCCTATTTCTCCAGCCTAGAGGTGTTGAAGACAGCTCACAGCCAGCAGCATACCTAATGGAACTCTGTGGTAGGAGAGACTTTCTAGAAGTGAAAAGTCTGTCAGATATGCAAATCTCCAAGTCTGTAGCATTCTTGTTTTTGAGTGTCATCTTCCTGAATTGCACAAAGGAAGGGAGAGGAAGAAAAATAAAAAAGGTAGAACAGGAGTGCTGCAGCTACTGATAGTTGTTTGTTTTTGTTTTTGTTTTTTTTTTCTTTTTTCTTTTTTCATTGAAAAATTCACTGGAGAAGGCAAAGCACTATCAGAAGACAAAATAGCTTTGAAATATAGCATTTCTTCTGGGCCCCTTCTCCAGATTCCATTTGCCAAATATGGATCCTCTGAAGTCCAGTGGAAGAAAGAGTCAGTACCCTGAGGCATGCCTGTGAGCTTGATGAATATTACAACACACTAAATAGCTGAAAAGGCTGCTTCTTCTTTTTCCAGATAATGGTGAAACAGAACAGGGATCTCCATCACCTCCATGCAGTACCAGTGTGGTAAATATAGGAGAGGACATGAAACAACAGGAAACAGGTTCTCAACATTTAATATTTTATTCTGTGAAAATGCACTTGAGTGTGCTTACTCAAAGATTTTTTTTGTTTCCCTTTCTATCTTCTGTGTGGTGTGTGGCTGAGGTAGAAAGTACAGTTAGAAAGTGAAAGTAATCATATGTGTAAGTATGTACTCTTGAGTGCTGTAAGATCATTGATTACTGTATGTGTCTGAAAATAATTATGTGTCAAAGTTGTCACATGAAGCAGTCTGCTTTTGCTATATGCTCAGCCCTCCTTTTAGTCCTTTTGTATTTCTACTCTTTTTAGTCTAGTGGTATATTAAAGTTTTTCCCTCCTCGTTCCCCAACATACCTTATCTTTCCAACTGCCTGCAGCTGCCAGAACTTCTACCCCTTCTGATAAACTTCCTTTTCACAAATTCCTGAGCTTGCATTCATTTCAATCTGTGTTCTCTGTTAATGTTTGAAATTCAGTTATTTATGGTGCACTGGTATGGTCTCATCTTTCCCACATTCTTTGTGGAAATTCTTAGTTTCTGATGGGTATTTTCCTTTCCCTTTTGAGCTGTTAGGGCACTGTGCGCATTTCAGAAGTCCAATGTGATGATATGTTTTCCAGATTGAGGTGGCACCTGTGTCTTCTAACATTTTCCTGCTTCCAGAGCTAGAAGAAAACTTAAAAGCATCACCCGTATGAGTTCTGTAATATGTATCTTTTCATAACTCATACTTCCCATTATTTTGGATAGCTGAATTTTATTTTTTAACACCTTTCCTTCAGATACTGCAGGGTCTTTGCTTTGGGGATTGTCATATCTGAATGCTACACAACACCTGGATTTATTTTTAATAATGTTTTTGATCAATGACTAGATTTAAAACGCTGTCTGAGGCTGTTAGTCACTTTAAATTCTTATTAAATGTCAGTGAGAGTTGGAAACTTAACCTTGTAGTGAAGCCTGTAGTCTTTACCTGTGGTGAACATTCAGGTCTGAAGAGTTTATTTTGATACTTACCGAAGTCACAGCACAGACCATGGGTCTTAAATATGTAGGGTACTGTTAAATCTGCTGTGTTTGCTGGCTGTTGTGTCTAAATACTGATTTTTATTTCCTGCCCTAGAATGTAAACAGTGTGAATGAGGAAAAAATGAGCAGAAGGAAAGCATTTCAGCCTGCAGATAAACTTTCAATCAAATTAAGAGTTGCTGCAGTTTGCTGCCTACCCTGTCATTGTATTTTTCAAAGAATCAATAATTTTCTATCTTCCTTCCCTTCCAGTTTCATCGATCCTCTTTAGCTATTAGAATTATTTCTCATTGTATGTGTGCAAGTATGTGAATGTAACCAAAAAAAAAGAAAAGCAGAAGAGCTAGGATTTGCGTTGTCTGACTGCCCTCTAGGGCCTACAGTTTGAAAAAAGTCTTTTGTGGTTGTGCTCATAGATTTGAAAGTACAAAACATTCAGATTTTGTTTGAAAACTTTCCTTGGACACTCTCTGTAAAATGCAGGGTCAGGATGCAGTATAACATATGTAAGTATTTCAGCCATCCCCCTGAATCAATCTATTGGTTGTCATACAGTCTGATTTAACAACTGCCTGGGGCAAGCATGTAACTTTTTCATTTGCTTTGTACCCGTTATCTTGTAAAGTTGCATTAAATTCACTCAACACTGAAGCTAAGATTAAATACGTATCTTTTCTTGCCAGCTGTGCACACCAAACTTTTTGTCTAAACTCCCTGTCTTTCAAAGTACACAGTTAGTTTTAGAGGGGTGGGAACTAATATTATTTTGCAAGATTTTCCTCTGGTAAACCAAAGCCTGGTGGGACAAAACATGCCAAGTTTTTCGTCACATTTAGGAGAGTTCTGGTATCATAGGAATAATTCTGTAGTATTGCACAATCCATAGACTTTATCAGTTATAGAAATAGATAGGATGTTTTACTTTTTGTCATGGTAATCTCAGACATAACTTTTAGATTTTCAGCTAACTACTACAGAAGAAGCAGCTACGAAGGCAAAGTGGCAGAGGATTATGGGTTCAAATTATGAAATAGTGGTAGGTAAACTTTGATTACTGTTATTAAATGCCCTTTGATCAGTCCACCTATTATGTTGCAAACATACAGATAGAAGTATGTTTGTATTAGATTTGTTCCTTTATAAAAATCATATATATGCTCCTTAATCTGTTGAATTTTGAATATAGATACATATTTTTCTGTATTGATTTTAGCAAAATAATTACAGGCTTCTTAAATTACTGTGCCCATGAGTATTGCTTCACAGATTTCCTAGCTTCAAGAGGATAATTATATACTAGAGAAAAAATATTTGAGCTCCCTTTATTTATCAAAGATCTGTTTATTAGCCAGAATTTAAAGCTAGTGCTTGCACCTTCCTGCCCATCCTGCAAGCTGAATGAATTGTTTAATGTAATGATCTAAATAATGCATAGAATATTTACTGTAGATACTATTGAAAAGCAGTATCTGAATTTAGAACTTTATTTCAAAATCATATGCCAGAGCTGTAGTCTCTGCAAAAGTATGTATTATTATATACATAGTTGTTATATACAGTTCCCACTTGTTTATGCTGAATTGATATGTGATCAAAGTTTCAGTTTTTACCTGAGTGTCCCCATTACACATGACAGTATTTCTGGTTTCTCACTTCTGGAATATATACCTCATTGTATGTAAATGAAACAGAAAGTAACAGGTACAGCTGTAAATGTGTCAAAAGTAACCACTTCTTAATCTTATTTTAGGTGGCTGTAGTTAACAAATTTAGCGAAAGCAGTGGTTTAGGGATAAGCCTTGAAGCTACGGTTGGACATCATTTCATCAGATCTGTCTTACCCGAGGGGCCAGTTGGAAGAAGTGGCAGGCTGTTCAGTGGAGATGAGCTACTGGAAGTAAGAAAAAATACTACTATCTTAGTCTGCATTCAGTAAGATTTTTGAGCAGTGACTTGCTTTTCACAGGTTGTGACTTTGGGAATGTAGCTGCATACCAGCTGTAACCAGAAGTGCTTGAGCAGTCACTTCAGATGTACTTAGACATATTTATGTGAATGCATATGCTTACATGCGTTTCTCAGATTTTTCAGATACAATTTAAAGTCACCAAAAAAGAGTACCTAACAAAAGCATGAAGATTTAATAGGAGTATCCCTACACAGTGAAGGGACTGAACACCTGTTTACCCTTCTAAACCATTTTCTTAGAATTAAAATATGAATTTGGTTCACACGAATGCAAGAAACATGAAGTGACAGAGTATATGGTGTTTGTAGGGTGGTGTCATGCAATTAATGAGGCTATCCATTCAGTTCTAAACGTATCTTAGTGTTGGTTCTGAGCACCAAATGGAGTAAAATTAAAGGTTGACAATATCCATTAGCGTGGGGGGTTTTGTTTTTTGTTTGTTTGGGTTTTTTGTTTGTTTGTTGTTTTTTTAATTAGATGATTAGTGATATGTTTAGGGGGTTTTTTACCCATTTTTGTTCACTGTGCTTTTAAACACTGTGTGTACTTCTAAACATTATATTCTTTATTTATTGAGGTGAATGAGATCTCTTTGCTTGGAGAAAATCACAAGGATGTGGTAAATATCTTGAAGGAGCTGCCTATTAATGTGACAATGGTATGCTGTCGTCCAGTAGCTCCCTCCATCACTCACCCAGAGGTACTGGAGAATCTAAGTCTATCTGACGTTCAGCTCACAGAAAAGGTATTTTGTCTTAAAAAAATTGCTGAGAAGATGACCATTTCCTTGAGAAAAAGCAGATAAAGTTCTTGTGTAGGATTAGAAATACATTTTAATATTTCAGGATTTGGAACCAGATAAATAGAAAAAGGCAATTTATGTTCATCAACCATACTTTAGGCCTCCAGAAAATATCAATCCTGGTTGGTCACAGGTAGAAATATTCTGGGACGCAGGTCTATTTACCGAAGTACTTAACTTCTGTTCTGCAGGTAGGCTGTGGGGGTATGGCAAACCGAACTGTGTGTTCTTTAGAATCTGAATCTATTTAATCTGGTTTTGAACTTCGCTTTCTGAGTTTGTGTTGTGCAGAACTGCGTGTGCATTCACTGGCAGACACACTTCTGCCACTCAGAAGTACAAAGCTCTGAGCAGCCTGATGTACTAATCAGGCAGGAATAGCCTGCAGTATAGTATACAAAGCAATAACCTTATAACAGCTTTGTAATATAGCAATATTACATAGCAATAGCTTTATTATATAGCAGAGTAACAACAAATTCAGCTTATAGTTGCTAAGCTTTTCTGTGAAACCAAGGGAAGTGAAGAACATATATGCATGCATGTGTATGTATGTGAGTGTGTGTGTATTCTTTTTTTAAATGTTCTGACTCCTGACAGTGCTTCTATGTTTAGATCGAGGCATTTTTTTTGACATACCACTTAATAACAGATATTTCCTGTATATTTGAATACATGTGTTAATAAAGATTTCTGAAGTTTTTAGCTTGACAGACATTACATTTTGTAAATATTTTTTTATATGCTTGCAGCATAGCTATTTTGTAACAAGAATATGTGAGTTCTGTACTAGGTTTAACAGACTTACTTGGTAACTGTTGAGTGTTTCCATTTTCTGTGTGCTTAGAGATGTATCAGTTTTATCTTGTTCTTTTTGAACAGAGTTTTATCTGCAGATTCACAGAGATTTACATTTAATTGGTGAACATTCACTGTTTTTCTCAGGCTCACATCGAACTTGGATTTATTGGCTCCTCAGACACAGAGGGTACAGCTTTGGAAATAGCTGACGAGGGTCAGAGTACGGAAGAGGTGCAAAGCTCATCTTTGGCGATGTGGGAAACAGAAGTACAGCACATTGAGCTAGAAAAAGGAAGTGCGGGACTTGGATTTAGCATACTGGACTACCAGGTAACTTCTGCATTTCTTTCTTTGAGTAGAGGACGAAACACTTTGTATTGCTTGGATCTTGCAATATGATCTAAATGTGTATTTTAAGGGTATATGTTAATGGAAACCAAGTAATACAGTAAATCTAAATGGATATTGCTACTGGTAGGCATCCCACTAGCTACATTACTTATTGCTCTTACTGTATTAAGACTGCAGGTTCTAATGATAATGACAATACCAGTCCAGAAAAATAGATAATCTGTAATATACTGGAGTCTTCAGAAAGCTCACCTTCTAGTACCTTAGGTGCAATGAATGATGTGGTCAGAATATTCAGACATTTAGACATGTATTTTGCACCTACAGTGAGGTGCTTAGGGCAGGATCTAATAAAGGACTTACGTGCTTAAAGCAGGATTTGCTAAAATCCAGAACTGCAATTCTGAAATCTCTTGCTTAGCAGCTGTCTGTCCAGGACATGCCTAAACGTCCCCATTCATTTTGTATTTGATTTCAAAATTCCTGGGTTTCTTAAGCTGTGATTCTTGGTGTGTCCCAATGAACAGCAGCTCAGTGCCTGCTTCCTGCCTGAATTTGGTCAGGATCCCAGAACAAATGTGCTTCCCATTCCCTGTTGTCACAGTGGGTAATTTTTAATCTGATTTAAAGCAATTTCTCTCTGCAGTCAATGTAAGCTTTTGCCTGGCTGTTGGTGGTGCTGCAGGACCTGGTCTCCTCCCAGCTCTCTGCTGGATCTTATCCCTAAGAGTATATGCATTTACATCTGGAGGTGACTTTCAGGTGGAAATTATGCCCACAGGGCACTAATTAGAATTAATTTATGCTTCGGTAGTATTTTGCATTTGCACACTGCTAAAGGTGAAGAGAAGTGTAGTTTAATAATCTGAAGGATAAAGGCACAGTCAAGTATCTGAATTATGAAACAGTGATTATTCTTTAATGTGTTACTCATGATGCTCTGCAATCAGACACCATAGCTGAGCCTGAGTATTTGCAGTCCGTGTCAGCACAAAGTAAAGCATGTTTTTGTTTAAGCCTCTTCTGTAGCATTGACACAAATGGTGGTTGCCTGTGTGGTTAGTTACTGAATTTTGTTTATGGATTGTAATACTGAATAGTTGTGGGAAGTATCTTAAATTGTTTTATATATTTTGCAAATGTGAGTTTGATTATATCCTACAGCTCACCTTTTTTTTGATGATATCATATTTGTGATCTGTCCTATGTTCTCTCCTTTGACTTGTGGTTAAAACATTTCAGTTTGTTACTGAAGTTTCTGTTTTCATCTAAGACTGAACAATAAATTTACAGTGAAATTTATCTTTGTATTTTGCTGTTTCCATCAAGTTTTCAATTAATTTTCAATGAACAGTGGCTAAAGTTAAGGACAGTTATGTTCATAGTAATACATTCCTCATGTTTTACACAACGGCAGGCCTGTAGGAAAGCCTACATAATTTCTTACCCCAGGGAAGACCATCACATAAAAGAGAGAGGTGAATTTTTTCAAAGCAATGTCTCATGCAGTGTCATCTAAAGTGATGGTGTGAATACTTGTTAAAATCATGAGGAACATGTCAGTGTTCAGGCTTAAGCACTATCTCCAGCAACGCTAGCTGTATTTCCACTTGTGAAGTGTTTTATTGCTCCATAGCATTCTTCATACTTCACTAATTGCCATGAGGTATTAAAAGTCTTCTTGGTGTTCTCCCTCTCTCTCTGCTTCCCTCAATGCTTTTCTCTCACACTAGCTTTCACCACTCTCCTATTCCAGTGGTTTTGGATGCTCTCTTGATGGTGTGCATCCTTTCAGGTCTATGTCCTGGAATGGAAACTTGTTACAGTTGCATGCCAGTTTGTAGGTGTTTGCTTTTCTCTTCCTTTTGCTGTCAGTTAAACTGGTACATTTCTCTTCTTCTGTGGATGTACTCAAATGAATTGCTGTGTGTTGGAAGTATTGACATGTCATGATGTTCCTTGTGAATATAATTCTGTAACAATTACACAAACATGTGCACCTATGATAATTGTTATAAGAGAATCATGCATTTTTGTTATTAGTACTTGATGCTAGCATTTTTATAGAAATCAGTGTCTTGGAGGATGGGGACTTCAAAGCAGTTTTGTTTTTTAAAAGCAAATACCACTTTGTTGTGTCTTGTTGATTAGAGTGCTGTATTGTAATGTTCCTGTCTCCCATAAAGTGTTTAATTAGGCATGCACAAGGACTTGCCTCTTAAAAGTGCTTTCCCAGCTGAGCAGGATCTGGTGCCATGAAGTATAAGAGAGTTATTGAAAATAAGCCCTTTGTTCCACCAGAGCACACGTTAACTTTGCCCCAGTCTGCATTGCCCAGCTGTATTCTCAAACCACTGAGTGTAAAGAAGGATGAAGTCTGCAGTGCTGTCATTGCAGTAGGAGGTGTTTGAATTTCTGATGTGTAATTACTCGTTATAGTACAAACAGCACTCTGCAATTTAGCAGTATTTTATGCTGGAGATATACAATGGGACATCATCTAGAAAGGAGTAGTAATTTTCACATCTGAGAATTAAAAATAGGTGAAGGTCTAAATGTATGTGCAGTATGGACAGGAGGGTATGTTCCTGCTGAGGGTTCATCTGGAGCAGAGCTCCAACTTTTTTAATAACTTAAATTTGCTGGGTTATTAAAAGCTCATGCATAGAAATTAACCTCTCAAGACATAAAAGAGTAGATAAAATGAAATGTTTTTCTTGTTTTTATTTAATTAGGATCCTGTTGATCCAGCAAACACAGTAATTGTGATTCGCTCATTAGTTCCTGGGGGTGTGGCTGAGCAAGATGGCAGACTTCTTCCTGGAGATCGACTTATGTTTGTCAATGATACCGACTTGGAAAATGGAAGTCTGGAGGAAGCGGTACAAGCACTGAAAGGAGCCCCAACAGGAACAGTTAAAATAGGAGTTGCTAAGCCACTGCCTGTAAGGATTTGGGAATTTGATGGGTGCTTTTCATGTAATTTAAGCTGATACATGATAAATCTGACTTCTGCATATACTTTGTGTGTGCTGGGGTACAGCTGGATGGCTCAAAACATCCAGAAACTCTCTTTAACAGATTGCTGTATCTCCCTGTATGTAGAAATGGCCTTGTGTAGTGTATGATTGGTATAGGGATTGCAGGAGCTAGCAAACCTGTCTTGCGGCTGAGAAAAAAGCGAAGCATCTTGCAACCAGCAGTCTTTCAGGGCTGCAAGTTCCCAGGCATTTTGTACACTTTTACAAGAATCTCTGAACGTGTGAGATGATGACTGTCATGCTTTGAGCTCAGAGGGCAACTGAGCATCACGCAGCCATCACTTCCCCTTCCCCCCTGGTGCTGAGAAGGAGAAAATAAGGCAGGCTTGGGATTTAAGAGATAGGACAGGGAGGGGAAAATCACCCATTGTGGTCACCTGCAAAAGGTGGACTTGTTGGGGGAAGAAAAAAAGAACATACATTTATTACAGACACTAGCAACAACAGCACTTAACAGAGTAGGACAGTAGGAAGCATTGCCACCTCTTGAGAACACCTTCCCCCCACCCCTCCTTTCTTCCCGGGCTCAGCTCTGCTCCCGATATCTCTACCTCCTCCCCCCAGCGGCGCAGGGGCAGGGAATGGGGGGTGCAGTAGGTACTTCCACTTCTTCCATCTTTGGTGGGGGAACTTCTTTCCCCTGCTCCAGCACGGACCTCCTCTCGCAGGAGACAGTCCTCCACAAACTTTCTCCAACGTGAGTCCTTCTGATGGGCTGCAGCCCTTCCTGAGCTGCTCCAGTGTGGGACACCCCTGCATGCTGCAATCCTCCCAGTGCTGAACTACAACAGTGGGGGCTACTTCTTCCCACAGAGTCATAGCCTCCTTTGGGCACAATCACCTTAATTAGTCATACGAGTCCCCTCACAGGCCATAAATTAGTGTCTGCTCCACTGTAGACCTCCATGGGTGGCAGGAGTGGGCTGCCCTGCTGTCTCACCACAGGATACAGAGGGGTCTCTGCTCTGGCACACCTCCCCCCTCCTTTCTTCCTCTGTTCCTTTCTTGAACTTGATGTTCACGCAGCTGCTGCAACTCCTCCTCACAATGCCGACTCCTTCTCACCAGGTCCCTGCTTAAATACATTATTGGGGAGGTGCAGCTGATTGGCTCGGCCTTGGCTCAGAGGTGGGTCTGACTTGGAGGTGGGGGATCTTCAAGAAGCTTTTCACAGGAGGCCACTGCTGTAGCCTCCTCCCCTGCTACGAAAAAACTCCACCACTCACTCAAACCCAGTGAAGCATCTTGCAATCAGCACAGTCTTTCAGGGCTGCGAGTTGCCAGGCATAATTTTGTACACTTTACAACATTATTGGAATCTGTGAGATGATGACATAAAGTCAATTTTATGTGGTTTGCCTGGAATTTGCCTATTCCTTTCCTTTGCAAGATATAGCACATATGCAGTCTTTGTATTTAGACTGCACACTTTATATTTAAACAATGGTAAGTAATCTTCAGTTCATATACCTCAAACCGGTTATTTTAGCATAGCCATAAATAATTTTAGAAGGTAGTCTGTAATAATTAGAAGAATGAGGTTGTAGGACACCTAGGGCTGCCAAGATAGTGTATCAGTAAGGATGCTACTGGACTAGTGTCCCTTCACATCAGTAGAATGACACCAGTTCATACATGCAAAGAAGATACCTTTCACTGTCTATGTAAGCACAAGTTCAGTCTTTGGGGTTCATTTTTGCTTTTCATGAAATGGTGATCTTCTAATCCTTGTGGATGCAGATACCAAATTTTCATTCTTAGTAGATCTTTGTGGAGAGGGTGGGAGGGAATGGTTGATGTTTAAGGTACTGTAAACTTTGCTTTTCATAGTAAGAGGGTGCTTTTTTAACTTGCTCTCTTAAATTCATTCTTTGTTGTGGAGACTCTGTTACACACTAAAATGTCTTGCAAATCAACATTTTCATACTGAAGATGTCACTCTAAAAGAGAAAATGCATGGAGGTTCTGTTTCCGTTCCCAGCAGTTTGTAAACATTCAGCATTTCTACTTTAATATTTTGGGTATTATGTTTGCAAATTAATTTACCATTGTGAATAATCATTCTTTGCAGTACTGAATGAATGCTCCTAACATCAAATTATGTTGGAAAAAGCTACTGGTCAGAATTATGTTTTGTCCTCTTGAGGCTATTCCACCCGGCAAATACAATCTCAAAATACAGACAGTGAATGCAGTCTTCCTGCTGGCTAGCAAGGCTGTAAAGTCCTCTGCTGTTAGTCTCTTTCCCTGGTGGCGGCTCTGATGGCAGTTTTAGTATATGTTTAATAAAAGCAGAAATTGAAAAATAGTTTAGACAAAGCTATAGGCTCTGTGATATAGCTCGATAGGCTCTTTTCTTTACTTGGGGATATATAATGGGGTGTGAAGCAGAATCAGTTCAAGTAAATTTGACCACAAATAATTGTCTCTTTACCTGCTCAACACTGTGACTGTGGTTGAAATTAAGGCTTTGCTGCGTTTGGAATTAGTTTGCCTCTCTAAACCCCTACACATGACACACTCTGCACGCCTTGTGTTCTGGCAACTCATCCAACTCAGAGCTTCGTTCTTTCTGCAGCTTTCACCAGAGGAGGGCTATGTCTCTGCTAAGGAAGATTGCTTTTTCTACACTGCCCAGTCACTTGAGGAGGAGGGGCCAGCTGATGCAGCCCTCTTCCATGCTGAGCTGGCTCTGGTTAGTGGCCCAACTTACCAAAGATTTCTTAAGCCTTTGCATTTTGTAATGGAAAGGATTGCTTTGTCACTGTTCATGCTTATTTTTTAGTGTTTACTGTCACCACATTACTCATCCACCATAGTTGGGATGGATCCCCACATGGTAGAAACTGGCATCTGGAGATTTTGGCTGTTTGCATGAGCTGTGAATCTGGCCTATCATATGTTAGTTGCTGGGAAAAAATAAAACATTTTGCTGAGATTTTCAAAAGTTCATGGCTACCTGCTTCTCTTTGCATGCACTGGGTAACCCTTTGAAAATCTCACCTTGAGTAGAGAAATGTTCATGTGCTTATTTTGTAAATAAATCTCTTCACCAATATCAGTGATACATCACTTCTATTATAATACATCACTTCTCTACCTTGAAAAGTTTTTGGAACTGCTTTTGCATGTATGCCAGTCTTACAAGGAATGCTGTCTGTCCTCAAAAACTGCCAACTCTTCCTCCTAATAATATTCTTTAGACTTCATCATTAATCAATCAGTGATTATGAGATTTGCAAGGCCAAATGGTGTTACTTGTACAAACAATGTGGCTTACCTGAGTATTCAGGTCCTTACATAGCCCAGAAGTTACCAGTAAGAACTCAGATAAAAAAGACAAAGGAAGTAGGATTCTACAAAAAAAAAAAACAAAAAAAAAAACCAAAAAACCCAAACAAATAAACCCAACAACCAGAATATAAATATGTTCTGAGTGTGTGTTTTCATTGTTATTTGTACCAATCTGGGTTTGATATTGAAGTTTTTTGGCCCTTATTTGCTGGGGATATGAGTAGGGAAGTAGTTTCTATTAACCATCAGAACTTAATTAATTTAAAAAACCAACCAACCAACAACAACAAAACAAAACAAACAAAAAAAAACCAACAGACAAAAAACAAAACAAAACAAAAATGAACAAAAGCCTGAAATGGATCCTTCCAAGGCAAAAATCTCTGAATTACTGATTCTAGTATGTTTGCCGTTTTTTCACATTTGCAAATGACCAGCTGGTTTTAATAACTTGCCTTTAAACAAGACTATCTGTTTTTTCTTCTTCAGTTTGTTACCTTGGTACAGTAGTTAGATAGTAATATTTGCCTTATTCTGTTCAGTGAGAAGTAGTATGAAGAAGCTGGGTTATATATTGTAAATATCCTTTAATTAAAGATATGTTGAAAAAATCAGATTAAAACTTAAGTATTTAAAAAGTTCACTTCTATCTGTGATTCATGTAAAAAAATGTGAAAGAACAATGAAAACATATGGCAGATAATAACATGGTTAAATTGTGAACTCTGTCAACTGTCTAATTGAATGTGCAAAATACGAAATTGATTGTCCAGTCACCCAGTTGAAGGTTTGTTTGCAAAGTGCACTCATGAGATACTGTTTTCCATCGATAAATCTACACTCAACTTCTACAGGTCTGTCCCCGTTTTTCACAGTCCTTTTCTTAGGGCATAGCTTTGGTAACACTAATTGCTTTTTCAAGAGTATGGGCTAAGAGTAAGTTACACCAAAGGAGCAGTTTGATTTAGCTGTTAAATGTTTAGGGTTGGGACAATATAAAAATGTGTCATTTGTACCCCAAAAAGGAATCAGTGTGTTCAATCATTGCAAATTGTTGCTATTGCTGGTGTGAATTTGACATGAAGAATTCATAGTATGATTAACCATAGAGGCTGAAAAACAACAGTTAGGTCCCCTTTCTGCAGACGGGTGCACTTGACTGCTTGATACGAACTTATGATGTGGTCATGGCTCTGAACTCACTGATCATTTTTGTTAGCATACACTGCTTTCATGAGCTCTGCCAGGGGAGATGGAATTATAATCAAAGCGTGATATGTGAAGCACTGTAAATAAAGTCTTTTAGGACTTAATTTATTCTAGTATTTGAAAGTATATGAGTGTTGGAATAAAAATATATTTAATTTATGAAAAAAAAAAAAAAAGGCAAAAAGTACTGCCTATGTCCATGTCTGGAACTCTTTTTAAAATTTTATTTCTCATGTTATACAGGAGAATTGTTCATATTAATCTTGTTACCAAATGTGAAACACTCTGGAAATCATAAAATATCATGTAATACATTTTTCTTATAAATGTATTGGCAAGCATTGCAGTTTCCAAAAGATTATTCTTTGCACCCTTTTAAAAACAACTGAACCTATGAAGTTGGGTGGAGGGAACGTTCGTTACAGGTGGCACTAAGTGAAGTTCATTATTTTTTAAATACTAATTCTTGTAAAAGAAAACTGAAAAGATTAACCCTAAAAAAAAATCAAACTATTTGGTGCCAGGGAGTACAGCAGACTTCTCCCAACACCTTGTATTTCTGTTGACAGTCATGAGCCTGCCTCAGCCCTGCAGCTTGTTCCAGATGAGGCTCTCAATTTACCTCAGATATTCTTTGCAACTTCTGAGGCCATAGTAACATGTAACTGGAAGCAGAGATTCATGCTACTGTGCTGTGCAAATATAGCTTCAATGTAAAACATGGAGGGGAAAAAAAAAATAAGGAAAGTGTCAGTCAGTAAGTAGCAACTGAAGTGCATGTGTTCAGGGTTTATGTGGTGTGAAGTTAACCGATGGCCTGGCTAATTGAATTGCTTTTGTTGTTAGGTGGACTCCAGCGAGGGAGACCTAGGGGATGAGTCCACCTTTGAGTCTCAGTATTCGCCAGAGAGTGACGTCTTTCAGGCTTCAATGATAGCTCTTCATGGCAGTGCCTGTAGCGGTGAGCTGAACTACAGCTTTGCTCTTCCATTGTCAACTCCCAAGGTAAAAAGGAGGATGGTTTTATTGATGACAAACTGATTATAAGTGTGAAAAGGCCATGTTATTAGGTATAAATGTTTTATGTCATCCTGGTTCAAACTGCACTGTTTGTTACCAGATAAAAGTGCAATTTTTTTTAGGGTAGAGCTGGTGTCTTTCACATATCTGTGCTGAAGTGGAAGGTAGCTAGGAGGTTGAACGCTTTGATTTGTCTTTTGTGTAGCCAAATGAATTATGGTGAGATGTCTGCAGTGTTAAAGCTGTGGTGAGCAGTCTGCTACAGAAACTTAACTGTTATTACTTCAGAGCATAGTAAAGGGTGGTAACACAAAATAACTGCATTATTCTACGATATTTTAGGTATGAAAAGCAAAAGCAAGTTTTCTCCCTAAGTTTTGCTTTTATGCTTCATTGTTAGTATGTTTGCTAATTCATTTACTGTGTTCTTGAATTAAATATTCATAAAGATACTGTAATTAAAAGTAAATCTGTATATATTAAATCTCTCATTGCTAATAATTTCTATTTAAAGTCACTAAAAAAAGATAAGTTCTTTAAGAGTATTACAAAGATTAGTATCTTTTTTCTTGCTGGTCACATACCCATAATGGCTTGTTTGTGTCAGAGTTGATGTTTTGTTTCTCATCAAGCTTTTTCATGCTCTTTTTTTCTTGGCAACCTATAGATTTATTTCGCTAATCCAGAGTCTTGCAAGTCATTTCTCCTAGCAGTCATCTTTGAAAGCAACATTGTAGGGATTTTTTCAAGGGTTTGCACTCTGTGCTCTTGAATAGAGTAGCTGCTGCTTCTTTTTCCTCCACACCTGAGCTGTATTAACTCTGTTTATCCTTATGGAATATCTTCAGGCCTTATAATGCACTGGTTGAAAAGCTAAATTCGTCTTCTAATGGTTTCTCCTAATCCACAGAAAAGCACATCTCTGCTGTGCCAGTGGGACAGATTGCATTGTTTAACTCTGTAATTGTTACTTAAACGGATTATGCATTTTGTATGCTGAGAAGCATTTTATGAGATTGAGTCTGGATTTACATTATATATTGTGTTGAGGCACTAGAAAGTCTTAAGTTATTTTCAGCATTGACTTAAAGATGGCTTTGGTTTACATGTTTTTTTAAAGATTCTGGTACTGACTTTTCAGTGTTCCTCTCTGCACCACTATGAAGTGAGTATTAAGTTCTCATCCTGTAACATATCCTCTGCAGTTACAAGTGACTTCACAAAGTAAACATAATGAGAAAATCTGTTCACAAGGAAGACTTTTGAAGCAAGTGAAATGGAGTAAAAATGGAAAAAAAAAATGCGACTTATGCTATGAGGAATGTATTGGTATTTCAGCTATGTCTGACTGCAGAGCAGTTCGCAGGTTCTGAATGCCTTTGGTGTCACTTTTAAAACACCTGATAAAAAAATACTTAATGTAATGCAAATGCTCTAATGAGGCCACATGTTGCTGTAGTTATGAGTTCATGAAATCATGTTTCTCTTCAAAAATTACAGCATTGACTTTTCTGTAAGTGAAACAAAAATAAAAGCAGACATATGCTGCAAATCTAATATGTGTATATATGGCATATGGAATAAATGTTGAGTACAATCTGGGACTTGCTTTCACTGGTTTGGAAATGTGTACAAAATAGATTTAAAAGTAGATGTCCCAGCTGTATTTGAAACCTTATGAAATAATTTAAATAGGTTATAGTCTTGGTGTTCTGTTTTCCAAAAGGTAGGAACTTATTTAATTGATGACATCATGGAGATTAGTTGTACTTAGGCTTTGCTCAATTATCTTCTCAGATGTTACTTAAACCACTTATTTACAGGTGAACCCTTTTTTGATGATTGTCTGGGGACAGATCTTTCATGAAAGATGAGAAAAACTAATTCTAAAGCCCTTGATACAAGACGTGTTTTCCCCACTTTTTGGAGAAAGAATAGAAGAATTAATAGGACCAGTAAATAACAACTAAGACATATAGGGGTAGACGTTCTTGTGACTACATTTACTACATTTAAGAGAAAAATCCCTAATATTGATACAGAGCCTCTAAATCCTTAAATCCTTGATGTATATTTCTAATATCTAATGGCATAGCTGTTTTTAAAATTACTTATTTTGAAAGCTCAGCTAGAGAATGTTTGAAGACCTTTTTTTTCAGAAGGCCATGATTATTGAAATCCCTTAAAATATTTGAAATGCAGTACCTTGGAATCTTGAAAGTCTAAATAAATTTTGAGTAGAGAATTTAATCTGCAGCCATAATTGCATAGAATTGCAATAAGTACTAACTGCCAAGCTTCTGCAACTGCATCACTGTATTTCATTGTCACACTTGAAAACCCCATGTCAGTTTTTTGCTGATACTTGACTGAGTTTTCACTTTTCCCTCTTTATGTGGAAAGTATATCTAAATATGGTCCTGCTCAATTAAATGAATGATTAGATTGCATGATTATTGTCTGAGCTGCTTGAAATTGTTCTTTGCTTGCTATGTGTTTTGAAAGTAAAGACCTTGGTCTTACCAAGTTCTTCCACCAGAGAAACAGAATTGGATACTTTAATTTTAATAACTTGCTGGTGTTACATCTAGTTTGAGAATGTGAGAGTGGATGTTATTTTGCTGAAGTTAGTGGAGAGTCATTGATGAGTACCAAATTAGAATTTGGCCTTCTGCAGTAATTTATTTTCGTTGATTCTGGTATTTTAAAACAGAAGAAATTGTCTGAGAATCAAGTAAATTTTTTAGTAAAATGCTTGTAGGGATCTACTGAAGACACTGATGTTACCACAAATATGTTTAAGTTCTATGAGATTAGCTTCTATTTAAGATTTTAGTATTAAATTTACTTTTTAATTATACTACAAAAGAATGTTGATTGTTTATTGTGTCCTGTGTTTAGCAGTCTGTTGGAGAGGAATGTTCAAATGCTGCATCTGCTTTCTGTGTATTTGACGAAAATCTGTACAACATGGATTTAAATCAGAGAGTGAGAGAGCAAAAGTCTGTAGTGGGAAATAGCCTGGAAACTGCAACTGGTTTTACTGAAAAGGATCTTCTGCCTCTGGATGTTTCGGATATCAGCCAAAATGAAAGTGAAAACACAGCAGTGTGGACTGGATCTCAGACAACAGCAGAAATTGTACTAAGTACAAGCCTTGCTACTAGCGTGCAGCTTGATGCCACTGGAAAAGTAAAGATTTTATTATTTATTTTAAAATAATAATTACAAAAATGTACAAAAGGCCATATTACACCATAGAATCTCCTACAGAAGTTGCCTCTGGCCAGCAGCCCTGTGTGGTTCTTTGATTATAAACGTCTGTCAGAAGTGGTAGCTCACATCAAAAATTACAGATCTAGACCTATCCAAAACAGGAGATCATTTATGGCATCAAGATAGTCATCTCCCAGAGACTGGTGGTACAGGGATACAAAAAAGTCTGGTCATACCTCACAGTAGTAGACACTGATGGACCACAGTGTACCTGTTGGGCACGCCAGGGTGCTTTTCTTATTCCCTGTTAACCTCTGCAGAGGCATGGGCTCAAGGAGGAGGTGCACAGATGCAAACCAGGCCTAGGAAGCCAAGTGGGACTGGTGTGAAAGTCTTGTATCCTGGTGTTTGCATAAGCCTATGCATTTCAGTTCACAAATTGGCCTGTGATGTCACAGTGTACAGGCATAATATTCCTTTATATGACAGTCAGTATGGCGTTTTTCTTTTTTCTTCTATTCAGTGATTTATTAAGAAATGCTTAGGAGAGCTGCAATTTCTTACAAGATTTGTTACTTTAGCACTGGGAGATTGTCAGATATCTGTAGTGAATGAGTCTGAGAGCCCTTGAATTCATCCCACTACTTTAAAGAGTGCAACTGATGTCCCTAAATGAAAAGCATAATTTGTGGTAGATGTGCTGTATTACCTGAATGAAAACAGAAACCTCATGTATATCGATTCGATCTCTGATGGACTGACTTTTCCAATGTCTGTATAAGTAATCTGTATTAATTATGCATCTAGTGTTTGTATAAGGTGAGATGAATTGAAGTCAGTATGTCCAATTGTATATTTATTTCTGTATTCTGAACTGATATTATTTTCTCTTACATTAGGATCAACTGCTTTTGATGGAAAAGAGGTGCCCAGTGTCTTTGGAGGGAAGTTCCACAACACCAAATTCAGTCAAAAACATGTATGAGAAAACTATCACAATTGCAAAAGGCAATTCAAGTCTAGGTAAGGTAGCTAACATTTTTTATAACCTGTTCAGGAACGTGGTTTTCTGTTTTTCTCATGTTTTCTGTTTTATTTGTAAAGACTAAAGATTTTCCTTCTGTGGGGAGAGCATAACAGGATATTCATTCTTTGCTGCTCTTGCCCTGTTTGGCTCTGATGTCAGTGGATCCATTTGCGGTTGCTGTGAACACAAAAGTAAAGTGTCCAGTTTCACTGAGAATTTTTTTTTTCCCCCATAAAGGAGTTTAGTCATTCCTGAATATCTATATCTATACATTTCAATATCTATACATTTATATAATATAGTGGAAAAACAAGATATAGACAAGGGATGCTGTAGAAGAACAGTTTGGTCAAAAAGCTACAGACTAGACTTTCAAATGTGTGTGAATAGAAAGTTATCTGGCTTTCTTAGGGCTGTCAAAAAGGGTCTAAACAAGCTGTTCATGTCCTTACTGTGCATTAGTACTTGTATCTTAAGTTCATCAGTATTTCTGAAAATCAGATTGATACATTTAATAGGTAGCATTTTTAGCTCAATGATACTACAGTTTTGTAGAGAATTTCAGAGTTTTGAATATCTGCAATCTACAACTCACTGAGCATACTGACTAGAGGCATGTTTTGGAGCAAACAGGAACAACTGATGGAAATGTTTCTCAGTGTCCTCTCCTGGTCTGTGGTGCAGCTCTGAGCAGTGTGAAGGGGAACACGGGGATAGCACACTCCTAGGCCAGTTGTGAGAACCAGCGCATGGGAGACGGTAATGGGAAACAGTGGTGCTCCCCTCCCATTTGTGGCCAGTGTGTTAATTTGCTTTGGTTTAGGGCCCTGGTGCTGTTTCTTCCAGCCAACTGCACATCCTTAAAGACTCACTTGGTTTTGTTTGTAGGGTAAGAGTTTGTGCTGGCTGTTTGCCGTGACTCCACAAGTGCTTTAAGATTGGTTATCCACGGAAAGCACACTGAAAGCAGCCCACGGGCCCCTTGTTCATAAACAGCCACCACTGGGGTCTCCCTTGCTGTGCAGAAGTGGGTGGGGCAATGTGATGCTGTAATTCAGTGGGTGCTTCTGCCTGGAATAAATTTACATCAGCTATAGCTGGGTGCTCAGTCTGTCCCATATCACCACCTCCTTTCTGATACAGCTAGCCTCCAAACTGGATTGGGAACCAGTCTGGTTTAAAATCAGCCTCCCCAAAATATAAAACTGTAGGCAAGGCTGATGTGGGTACAGAATTTGATTTTTACTGTTATGAGGTGATTGGGTAAGTCCTGCCTTTTCTGGCCTCATTGCCAGGCTGTAAAAAAGTGCAGGTCACTGTGCAGTTCCAGGCATCTGGATTTTGTTAAGAAACCTTTGTTTCTGATAACCTCTTAACTCAGTGGGACAGTGTTTCTCATGTATGTCTATGAGTATTTTAAGTGCAGTGAACATACAAAGTAAATTTCATGTCAAGTGTAATACAGCATTAAAATACAAATGTGGGGCGGGGTGCACATTGGCAGACTACATTCATGAAAAGTGAGACTGGCCTCTCATATATGCATACTATGAATGTGAATAGTGTTTTCTCCTGGCTTTTGACTGTAGTCTTTTACTTCCAGTCTGTGTGTGCTCTGGCCTGGGAAGCTGCCTGGGCACAGTCACCAATTTACACACATGGCTGCACTGCTTTTAACTTTCATTTTTACAAAAGGAGCTAGCTCAAGAGCCGTAAATGATGTTGAAAGCTGCAGCTGCATCAATTGTTTCAGTTGAGAACTGGCACTTCTTTTTTCTTTTTAAATGTTGTCACCCATAACTTGCAACAGCTCTTCAAATCTGGCCACAGCTGGAGCTCTAACCTTTTGATGGTGAATTTTAAAAGGTAAGAGGACAGAGCACCCACATGCAAGAAGAGCTGAAAAGCCATTGTCCTGTGTGATTCATCTGGCAACTTGACAGTGGCATTTGCATTTTTAACCTGAAACTGTAGCTGTCCAAAGTGTGACATCAGCCTTTCAGATCTGTTGTAATGAGGATGTCAGCATAGAAACCGGGGATGAAGTTTTTCTAAAGTGCTATTACACTAGCCTCATTAATACTGTTGTTTGTTACTGGCTTAACCAAGAAGAAAAGTTAGGTTCAGAATTTCAGACCACATTTCAGCTGTTTCCTTGGCGGACTGCTGTTTTGTGCACACTGCCTGTATTCTGGTGGAGACCACTCTGTTGCAGAGTTCTGTTTACGTTCAGATCTGACTGAGTAACCTGTATGAGAAGATCTGTCAAGAGGTGGTGGTTGGAAGGAGTATGTGAATGTAAACACTGTGGCATCCACCCCAGGATGGCATCTGTAAATGCCATCTGTGATGTGCTCAGCATTTTAATGTTACTAATATGAGGGGAAGGTGACAGGCAGTTTACCTCTTCTTTTTCTAATAGCAAGGCAATAAATCAGTGGCATTTGCATGTCTGTATCACAAGTCTGATACACCCATGTTTAAATTACATCTGAACAGAGCTGACATCATTACCTGGCAAATCATAAATACAAATCTCCAGTTAATGATAACACCGTATTCTTTCATCAGTTTAATATAAAGTGCCATCATGAAGATGGATTTTGTAGTTTTTCCAAAAGATGAACCTTGATTTCCACATACCAAGCTAGAGAGGTATTTGTATTCCTGTGTCTGAGAAATTTATTTGTCAGTTCCTTACCAATCAGGGCCACCTTTTCATGTTTTAGACAGCTGTGTTGATCTCAACTAAAGTGGGTGTGAGAAACCAACGCTAGTAAGAGATTTTTATTTTCTAGAAGAAGTCCTAAAAAGCACAAATTAATATCTGGATTAGTGTTGTTCTTTAAACGGTTACAGTATTTTATTTTTGTCTCTGAGAATGATATATAGACATATGTTTGTATGGTTGGCTGAGTCTGGGTAGCCTGGGGCTTATAGCTGCCTTCTAAACTCTGTTCAGCCAGTGTATCTCTCAGGGTCTAAGGTCCCAGGGTAAAGTTTTCAGTCTTTGTCTTCTGTAGCCATGTTTGTAAATAAATTATTAGAATTTTTTCATAGTCATTATCCTTGGAGGTTTTGCTCTGAACGTCTATCATCTTCCACTCACAGTCTGGATAAGGTAAGGGCTTGCAGACACACAACTGCACTCCAACTGCTCACTAGACTGATGTTTACACGCAAACTAGGAGAACACATAGTCAGGTAGTCACTGCCTCCTTCTCCAGTAGATACTCCTCTATAAGGTGCTCTTACTTCAGTGACTTCATCTTGTTAGTAAAGGAAATCTTACATGTTAGTGTACAAAAAATAATAAAACCAAGTTTGGCAGTATTAAGAAGAATGTTCTGGTCCTTCAGCTGTCTTTCCTTTGCTTTAGTGTAGAACAGTTTTTTCTGCAACTGTTGTAAGTGTTGATTTCATGAGCACCAACTGCCCTGAAAATAACAGTGACAACTCATGCATGTAAGAACAGTCACAAAGACGTGTGAAGCCCAGCACCACAAGTCCCCATGGGGGAGGAGGAGGAAGAGCACTGCTGTCTCATTTCTCATTAGTGAAAAGAAAGTGGAGTTAAATGGTGTGAATAAGCCCTGAGAAGTAGTGTCCTGCTGTGCCACAGGTGGGATAACTCAAGCAGGTGGGTTTAACTCAAGTAGTGGAATGCATCCATCAGTAGTGTGCAGGCTCTCACAGAAGCAGGAATGCTCTTTTTGGTCTAAGCAATGGCTCACCTGGGAGAGCAGGAAGACAGCCACTATCTCAGTGGGATCCAATTCAGGCTTTCTGTTGAAAGTAACTGTGTGGTTGTATTGGCCCTGTGCTCCTAATTATCTGTTTAACCATTGCACCTCCTTTCTAAAGAGAACCATCATAGACTTAACTGAAATGCTGTGTGTAAACTCAGTGAAGCATTGAGAAGAGTGGTAAATTTGACTGTTTTAGAAGCAATTTGATTATCTTTTTTGTTTATTTTCTGCTTAAATTTTCCACTGACTTAGTTTTTTTATATTGAGCCTGGTATGTGAAATGACACAAGGTAGAATAAAAATACTGTGATTGTGATTTGTAACTGCTGTCTCCAGTTGGAAAGAGGGAAATGCAAGGGAGAATAAGAGCAACGTTTATCAGCTTGCTGACAGTGGCAGGTCAGCTAGCTGGCTTTTACCTTCCCTGCCCCAGGTAACATTTATTTGGCACTCAGAGCTGAGGCTCAAAGATGTTAAAACTGTTTCATGTGGTTTTATTCACTATAGGGATGACAGTAAGTTCCAATAAAGATGGCTCAGGAATGGTAGTCCGCAGTGTCATCCATGGAGGCTCAATAAGTCGTGATGGACGGATTGGTGTGGGGGACTGCATCCTGTCCATTAATGAAGAATCAACCACTAACTTAACCAATGCACAAGCCCGGGCTATGCTAAGGAGGCATTCGCTCATTGGACCAGATATAAAGTAGGTAAAGCTAGATGATGAATTGTTGTGGGAAAAGGCTAATAATAAAAATTTGGTTATTTATGCAAATATTCTAAATGAAAATTTTGTTTGTTTTTACAACATTAATTTACCTGTAAGTTACAGCTTCAGATGGATAATTCACCTTCAGATTACAGCTCCGTAGGTTTGTAAAATAAAATTACTTGTGTGAGAGGCTTTGGATGTTCTTAGAAAAGTTATTACTGTTATTAGTAATCATCATCATTACTACCCTGCCTGGTTTTATTGAAGGAATGGGATTAGTCAGAGCTTTGCATGCACAGTATGACTCTTCTAAAGAAAGTAATGATTTCCTTGAGGTGTTTGTGTTTCTCAAAGGTTGACTGTTCTGGACATTGCACAAGTGATTTAATTTGATGCAAATCTTTGTAATGGATTTTGATTTTAACTGCCAGACAGAAAGTATGACACATGATGTTAATGCAGAAAAGTAATACTTAAAACATATTCAGTACATCTGTGACAAACAGCAGAAACAGTCTGTTTTGTGAAGTCACTTCCAAATTTTTATTAGTACACATGAAAGAGCTCTTGCTCTGGTGCATAAGTATCCCAAGAGGGAATACTACTTTAAATTTGCAGTAATTAGTGTAAGTTTTGAAAAATCCTCTTGCTTTATGAGAAAGTTTCTTCTTCTCAAGTTCACTCCATTTACAGAATTTTAACCTTCCCTTAAAGTATGATTCTTTCTAGATGTAGTGGTTGTGGAGTTAACTTTGCCTATGGGCACCATCTAGAACTGAGATTGTTCCTAAGCTTGTGGATGGTGCTCTAGACACAGCAGTGCTGGGTTTACAGTTCCAAAAACCTAGTAGCTGTTTCTCTCAAACCCATGGTGACATGGATTGGGTCAGATCTGCAAATGGGATTAGTGGAGCTGTTCATAATAGAAGCCTCTACTTATTTAAGAGGATGGCATTGACAAGGATCAGTTCACTCCCTGTATGGTTGCAGGTAATTGTGTGGTTTCTGTCAGTCCAAAATGGACTGCAGGTCATTCCATTGTTCCCTGCAAGTATTCTAACTTTGAAGAGACCTGGCATTTTGTGAACAGGTAGGCAAAGTATCTTCACTGTAAGTGGTAGGTTTAATTGTCTACCCTGTAGCTGTTATACATTCAGGATTATGATTTAATGCAAGATTGTTTAAATAATGGATATGCTCATATAATGAATTCCATTATTGTCAATGCTGTCATGAATATGAGTCAGTGTTGATTAAATGTGACATTGATTATTATTGTAGGCTTTCAATCTGTATTATAATTCCAACTGCTCCAACTGAAATCAGTTGGTATGTGCGCATGCGTGTGTGTGTATGTCTGCTTAGATACACAAATGCTGCAACACCATTCTTCTGTGAGGAGTCTTTTATTAGTGCTGTAGTTATGTGATCAAACACAGATGTGTTCAGTATTTGTGCTTATCTTTTATAGCTGCTGCATTTTATACTATGTGACTATAAGTTTTGTTTGTATCTTAGTCTTTTGCAGATATGTTGGAAATACCAAATCTTGTTTTAGACATGAATATTCAGATTTTTCAGAAGAAAGTGCACCGCCTTTCTGAAAGATCTCACAGAAAAGGGACAGTTGCTATTTGTATTCTTACTTAAGATTTTTGTCTTTCATTTTATACGTTCTTTGGTGAATATCCAAGTTAAGGGTTTAAAGTGAAGCAGGCTTCTGTGCTTCAGAGAATCGAGAGACCAGATCATTCAGTAGCTTCTAAAGGAGTCTTATAAGAAAGAGGACAATATTTTGGGGCCTATGTAGTTTTGATACAAAACTATTCAGCATAATTAAACTTTTCTGTAATTTTTACTTTCAGAAGCAGTACAGGATCCCAAAAAAATATGATACAAACATGTGGGCATCATCCCAAATCAGAAATCTGTCAATATGGAGCGTTATCTCCTGGTAGTTCTTCCTGTTTGCTGAGAGGGATACACAGCTATATAAATGTCATTTCAGAGCCATTCTGGTGCACCTCCATGCAGGATTTGTAATTTAGGGGTCAGCATTTAAAATAAGCAAGTTGAAACTCTGGTATCTTCCTCAAGAAACTAGGGTGCAGAAGGACTCAGGTGTGGCCATCTAGATATCGTTTCTCTTTATCCATATGGGGCTGCAAAGTTGGCACTTTAATTTTTAGACTGAGCTTTTTTTGGGTAGCAGGGTGCCCCAAAAACTGATAAAGCAGAAGTATTTTAATTTCAAAGCTGCATTTCAGTGGCAAACATCATTTGCTGATAAAATGTAAAGCTGTTCTTATTTGCCACATAAAGGCTTTGTTTTATTTTATTAAAGGAAATGTGATTTCAAGTACTTTAAGAATCAACAGTCTGAGTTTCAGACCTAGGCATTTAATTTTTTCCCCCTTTATGTGTGGAAAACCAGATGTATGGCCTAACCAGAATGCATTCTATTTCACTTCTCCCTTCACCTTGCCAGGAGCTCTTATATTTCTGTTATAATAGCCAGGGTATTGCGCTCAGCAGCAGCTGCTTTTAACATCTGTTAGATTAATTACAGAGCTGAATCAGAATTCACCTGACTAAAGTGTGGGGATGAATTCCTGATCAAGAAATAAAAGATAGATTGCAATTCCATTTTCCGTGCTCGTTAATAATTGCTGCTATAGACAATAATAAAGAGCAGATGCTTTCTGGGAGAGTTGTAGGTGAAGCGTAGGTGGAACAGGGGAAAAAAAAATATAAAAGAAAAAGGAGAAAGAAAAAAAAAAAGCAGCTCTCACTTTTAGCTATATAAGTATGCCTCTTGCATTCAGCATGAGACATTGACATTTTTAACACCATTGTAAAAAGATGCTGCATCGTATGCTTCACATTCTAGATCTTCTCCAGCACCTGCTGATGATCAGGCCCTCTGTTATGTGTGAGTATTGGCGATTCAGAAACTCATTATGGCTCTGTGTTGCAATGTGTCTGTAAAATCATTCCATGCTTTTATGACATCCATAGTAATGTCAGGGATATATCCAGATATAGGTACATGTTCTCTCTCCCTGTGTGTATGTGCATGCACATGTGGCTGCACATGTGGATGTTTGTATATATGTATTTTAAAAAAAAAAAATATTGTGAGTGTGTCTGTATATGTATATGGCTTTAAACTTGAGTATTAGAGCATCCTTCCTAAGACTGGAATGAAGACAGCTGTATGCTAAAAAGCTATTTCTAATATTTAAAAATTTCATCTATGACAGCCACCCCAGATGTGCTCAGAGCACGTGTGTGTGCATGTGTGTGTGTGTACAGACTTCACTGCTAGATTTGACATGAGTATGATGTACTGATATCTGGATTAATCTCAGTGTCATATTTTCTGTGGCACTTACATTTTACTTCATTCATGTATAAAAAGATTTAAATTAGACCTTAAGTGTTAATGACAGTAATTTGTCCTGAACATTTTCCATACTTTGTTACTCGGTTTGTTGGTGTTTCAAGGTTTTGTGTGGCTGTTCAGTCAAGCATGTGATAAATGTTCCTCTGTACTGCATGCGGTGTTGTTTTTACTGTTTTTACAAGATATTTTCATATGTACACCCTTCGGTGTTTCCATCGTCACTGCTTTCATTGCTAGTGCATATCTCTGGGGGGAGGAGGGTGGTTGTAGCTCTCAAGAAAGGAAACCAGAACACTTTCTCCTCCAAGCTATACAGCTGTGAAAGAGGGGAAATGATTAAGACCTGCAAAGACTTTCCCTTTAAACTGTTGAACTTTTAACTTCTTCTGCAGATAAATGCAACATGGCAGTAGAGCAGTCATTTACTTGTTTCCTGTTTTCTGTGTCTTCATCCCTGTTTCCTGACACTTCTTTCTCTTACTGTCTTCCTTGTGACCATATTAAGGTGATTATCAGTCCCTTTTGCAGATGAACCTTTCAAGTGCCTGGGTGGATTTTTACTTCCACTTTACAGCACAAGGGTCAACAGAGTTGACCAGAAGAGCCCAACACCCTTCTTGTTCTAGGCCTCTCATCATCCCAGTCACAAGCTGAGCTGTTCGGGATGATGCTGGATGTCTTCAGGCCTCACTGTGACCTCCAAGAAGTGAGCTACAGTAGCAATCCAGCAAGTGATGGATTTGATTAACTGCGGGGTGTCTGCCCATGAAGTACTAAACAGGGGGGAAACTCCTGCCAGATATAAATCCAAGGTCTTTAGTACAATCTGACCTTGCTCTGTGTGTGTCACAGAAGGCAGGAGCAGGACAGACAGCCATTTAGCAAATACAACTTTCTGGTATACATATGGCCTAGAACTCTAATTTACAGCAGAGCTAGGTTTTTGTATAACTTTTAATTTCAATAATAATGTGCAAAGGAGAGAGAGGGGCGGGGGACAGTCACATCAGTAATACAATTCAGCTAATAAGAGCAGCTAGGGAAGCCCTTACAGTTAACTGGACTTTGGAAATCATTAGCAAGAAGAAACAAAGGCAAACTCCTACACAGAATATACCTTTTCATGCATTTTATCCATGTTACTTATTTTTCTTTTATATGCTATTTTTTGCAAAATGCAAGTGTTCAAGTTTATATTTATGCAGTATCTGAAGCCTTATTGTCATTTAATTGTAGATAAGAATGAACAGTTAAAAACATAATGGAAGTTCCTTTGAATGCTTAAAATTAAGCAATTAGAACTGGAGGTAAGCACTAGAATAGAAATAATGTAATTTTCCAAAGAGCCAAAATGTAACATCTCCCAGTGACACTATCTAAATTTGACTCCATCTGTGGAAATCGATTATGTAATTCAGTTGCTCACTTTTAAATGTATTTTTTAAAATAGTGGAGTGAACCTCTTTTCTTCTCAGTTACTGTGCTGTGCGCAGAAAGGGAAACCCGCCTACCTAAGAGAGCTTTTGGGAGATGTTTGTAAGTAGCATATAAGGCTGTTTGAGGGCATCCTTTGAGCCATACCTTTTGAATGTCCCATATAACGAAGAACAGCAGGGTGTCACAGAAGTTGGAGTGCATATGGTTTGCCTCCCTCTTAGCTGATCTGTAACACTGATGTTGCACAGAGGTATGAGGTAAGGGCTACTACTGCCCTTGGGACCCTGCATAATTGTTTGCCAGGTGCTCCTTGCACAGAAGGACTGGACAAGAGTTGAAAGATTTTGGGCATTCTACTACCAGTGATCACACTCTACTGTCTACGTCCAGGCTGAATCTGGAAATATCTGTTCATTTTTAGGAGCCTGCCATTCTCCTTTCCATACGTGGAACACTAGCTTCCAGCTGCAGTTTAACATAAAGGAGATTCTCCAAGCCTTCTAGCCAGTGGAAATGTTGCTTGCAATTCTGGTTTCTGTACTGCAGCTTCTTTCAAGGGAAAATATATTATTTCCTACTTATTTTTATAGGATGAAAATTGATGAATTTGATTGGAATGAAACTGGTGAATGTAACTGGATGAATGATATGTTTTCTTTCATTGAAATGCAGATTTCACATCTCATATTTTTGTAGAGGCGAGGTGTTCATTTGGACTTACTGGGTGGTTCTTCTGCAGCAGCATTTTCCCTGTGAAAGTTTTGTGACCGTAATGCTAAAATTTCACTATAGTTCAATTCATTTAGAGTTGGAGATGGCTAAGATGTAGTAGTGATTCTTTTCAAAAACTCTTTTCCCTCTTGCTTCTATCCATTTCACTGCTAGGGCTTTGCAGAATAACTGCTGCATGTGTTCTGTGTTTCTCAGCACTAGACTGCCAACAGGAAAGAGTCAGTGACTTTCTGCTGAGTGCTTCTTCCCTAGTGTATGTTAACTCCCCAGCACTTCAACATGAAAGCACTTTGTGTCAAGCACATAACACTTGTGTGTTTGAAAAAAGGCCAAAGCAGAAGAGGAAGATTTCAGGAAGAGAGAAAGCTGGTGATAATATGGATGATTTAGAAATTAGGTTTTTTTAAAAGAACTGGATGGTTCCTCCAGTTCAGCACTCCAGGCACCTCCTTAATGACCATCTTCTGCACTTTTCTAGATACGGTAGATGTGAGAGGAGATAGAGAACATGTTTGGGCACAGATAAAGAAGACAGATATAGATGGTCCTTATGATAATTTTGGTAGAGTGTTTTGGATGGACAGCATTAGTCACACAAAAGTTTACTTGCTCTGCCTTCTGCTGCTTGCTATATTCATCAGAAAACTAATGAGAGAGGGAATCAGTGGTAGTCAGGGAGTAATGGGCAGAAGGGGACTCCAATCAGGGAGTGACAGACGTGAGAGGGGCCCCAGGTGAGAGACTTGGAGCTGAAGGAGTCTCTTCTCAGCAGCTTACACATCCTTGTGAAGTGGTCAAGATGTTTTTTTTCTCCCCTTGTCTGTCCTGTGGGGAAATGTGTTCATATTTCTTTTAACCATATAATGGATGGGAGCACAGTATTTTTTTTTTTGTGTTCTTTTTCATTAAGCTTATTTCTTGACAGACTTGGATCTGATAGCTAAGTTGCTTATCGAACAACTTACAGGTTTTTAAGGAGAGAAAGCATCATTAAAGGAGGGCCATCTAAGTAGCCCTGTTTAGATCACGGTGTCCTTTTGCCTGTAGAGGAAAGTTTTCTAAGAAATATTCTTCTTACCTTAATCTTTTTTCTTTCTTGTTGTTTTCCCCTCCCCAGTCTGTTGGGCCATTTCTCTTTCTGGCATTCAAACATGATCAGGTTACACCCAGACTTCAGGAGTCTGCATGTCATTTGGCTGGTGAAACATGACTGACTGTCCCAAGCTGGCTGGAAGTGCATCTGAAGGGGTGAAGGAAGGAACTGAGCAGGGGATTTCTCCTTGTGATATAGGTGGTGTGTTGTAACACATTAGTATTTCTAAAATCCTGCACTATTTTTCACCAAAAGCATAGAAACGTAAAACACATACAAAACCACCCAGGAAAACACAAAATCTTCTGTATGCTAATTTACAGAAACATTTTCAGCCAGTATTTAGGATGGTAATGGTGCTTCATGCCTCACAGGTCCTTCAGTGTTTGTCATTCCACGAGGAATCTGTTTTGACTGAAGCAGGATTGTCGCTCTTACACCCTTCTTGCTGTTCAGATGCCATTTACTTAAAATGGAGTGGCCAGCCATCAGAAAATTATGTGCTGTTCAGCTACTAACTTGACCATAAATGTGTATTTGCTGCAAAGTCACAAAGGGTTCATGTAACTCCTTATTCCCAACATACCGGCATTGTGCCTCTGGTGTCAATGACTATATGAAGTAGTCTTGCGTGACTTCCTCATATCTGTTCCTCACACCCACCAAGGATAGGGCCTGCAGTCCTCATGCTACTTTAATCATGTCCCATTTTATTGCAGTATTACATATGTACCAGCAGAAAATTTAGATGAGTACAGTGCCAGTTTGGGACAACAGACAGAGGGAGCTGTGCCACTTGAACTTTTTCCTACACATGCTGTCAGGTGAGTCAAAACACTTACTGTTTTCTCCCATAGGGCTGTCAGAGGTAACTCTTTCCATACACTTCTCACAGTTCAGGAAGATATGTTTTATTTTAGAAAAGCTGAAAGATGGATGATTTTCTTCAGACAAGCAGCCATTACCATAAAGAGCTGTTCAGAATACAATTTTTGCTTTGGCTAGCAAATTTTTCTGACATTTTTACAGGGCTTTTTTATAGGTGTTTGATCTACCCAAAAAGGCGATTGGATACTACTTCATCCTAAATTTCTCTTAAATACTTTGCAATTTGATTTATGTGTCATCACAAATACTCAGTGCTTCCAGTATGAGAATTTGGCATTAATGGTCCTTCCAGAACGTATACTGGAAAGAATGAATTATGCTGTCGTTTTCCTTGACTTTCAAAAATTCATTACAGTTATAGGCCAAAATATTCAATGTGACTAATAATTTTTGTTTTCTTTAAATTCATCTCTGAAAGCAGTAACTTTTTGAATGTTGCTGTTGTAATTTCTTGCATTTTGGACACAATAAATAATTACCTTCAGCTTTGGTTTGGTTCTAGTTCCAAAATGTAGAATTGTTTATTCTGTGGTTGTCAGTTGATAGCAACTTCATTGAGGAGACAAGTGGACAGGGAATCCCCAAACACAGTATGTGTTCTGAGAGACATCTGAAAAGTTCATTACATGAATCCTGTGTACAAATTCCAATGCTGTCAGGGTGATACAATACATGAAATTTTGCAGTGAAAACTGGTGATTATATGGGTTCTTTAAAAATGAACTGCTTGTTCCTGTTTATCAGCAGGGAACTCCCAGAGCTTCCAGAACGTGAAGAGGGGGAGGGAGAAGAAAGTGAACTTCAAAATGCAGCTTTCAGTAACTGGAGCCACCCCAGAAAGTAAGTGCAGATCTAGTTGTGTTGTATAAAATCTCATCTGAAATTCAAAAATTTTGAAACCTGTTATATAATTTAAGAGGAATAAGAAAACAACATCATTGCTGTACTTACATATATTGTGCATTGAAGGAGTAATTCACTGTTGATTTTTACTGCTGTTGGGCTAAATCCCTGCAATCTAGCAGTTTCTTGATTGCTTCAGTATTTTATCTTTATAGGCTGGCTGTCTGAGAGCCAATAAGAAGAGATGAAGAGAAGGATTCAAAGTTGTGATTAGAATACAAAATAAAATGAACAACAGTAGACAAAATTACAGACTTTCTGAGCAATTCAGTAGATAACTCCCACTGAAAGACAAAACTTTCTAAGGAGGAATTATTTCTGAATGTTTTTAAACCACTGTGAAAATCCACATGTCTTCAGTGTTCAGTGCTGTCATAATCACAACAAAATTTAATTTATTTTGGTCATTGTTTTGTCACTACAGGGTTGAACTCTGGAGGGAGCCTAGCAAGTCACTGGGGATCAGCATTGTTGGAGGACGAGGGATGGGGAGCCGCCTGAGTAATGGAGAAATGATGAGAGGGATCTTTATCAAGCACATCCTGGAAGACAGCCCGGCTGGCAAAAATGGAACACTGAAAACTGGAGATCGGATCGTGGAGGTACCAACTGAGTGTCTTTTGCTTGCAATACTCCCAGCATCTCAGGAGCTGCTGAGATGAATGTGTGGTCTTGGGCCGACATCTGTGTAATTGCTGCCGCTGGCACCATGTGAGCCATACAGTGTTATTACCATCTGCTGATGCTTGTGTGCAGACATCTTTAAGTTCCGTATACAACCTAAATCATAGATGACTGACTGTGTGAACAGGGGTCTACAAAGCCAACAGTTCTACCTGCCTGTTTTAAAGCCAGCATCTGTAGGAAAAAAAGTAAGTTTGTTGAAGCTAAAAGGTTTTAGCTTTGCATATTGGATAGCAACAAAAATAGACAGTGAATAGCAAGTCATGCAAATAAATGCCAAACTTATTTCCCTCCTAAATCTTAATCAGATCACATCATTCTTGTCATCTTGTGCAGGAATTAAAGGAGACACAGTTTTTTTCCTGATGACATGAAGAAAGCTGGGTTTGATACAGAGGAAGTTAAGACCATTGTGCCCATGCCTGAGGATAGGGTAGCCAGTGGTGTTGCAGGGAGAAATTTATCTGTATTTCTGTTCTGCTTAGCTAATCCTGTGCTCATGCAGCCACTTCTTCTTTTTCACTTAAAGTTACTGAAGAATGAACATACTGAAAGGAATGTGTCTTTCCTGTGATGATTATCAGTAAGTCAGACATTGCTCCATCACCAGTGTCTGGCCATTAGGAACTGCACTCCACCCTGCTGAATGTCCGTAGATGACTGTCCATCCATAAGAACTTAAAAAGCAGGGTGATGGAGATGGTGATTCTTTCCCTGGATGAGACTGGGCTTGCTTTATAGGTGATACTTAAACTGCAGTTTGCTGTCTACTACAAGATCCATGTAAAGGATGTTGAAATAATATCGTAATATAGGTAGCACTTTCTACGACAGGATGGAAGAGTTTCCAGTGTATAGCAAGCTGGGAGGTGGAATTTTGCCTGTTGGCCACAAAGTTAAAACGCATTCGTTTTGTCTGAATACCTGGATTTTTATGTATGTAACAATTGTCTCTGACAATGATGCTTACAGAATTTGGAATGGGTGAGTGAAATTAAGTAACTAATGTGTTAATGTGACTCTTTCTGAATGGATTATTTCAGTTTCTCAAGTTGTGGCGTATCTAGGCTTTTCTCTATACTAGTGCATACAGTATTTCAGGCATGGGGAGTTGGAGAGCAGTAGTGGTTGTGTTCAGTTCCTCATAGGTTTTGAATTTTCTCTCTCAGATTATTTTTGTTTTCTCTTTATTTACACTGGATGGTTAAGTTTAAGGTAGAGTTAGACAATTAAAAAAGTAGGGGTAATCCTAATTATATAACTTCGTGTGCAAGAATTGCCACTAACAAATAACCTTTCTGTGTTAGCTTCCAACTTTTATTATGGTCATTGTGAGAATGCTTTATGGTGCTAACCTCACCATAACATGGTTCTTACCTGAACTGCAAGACAAACCAATACATATGAAGGCATGGAGAAAAGCTACCTGTCAAAAGCTTGTCTTTAACCATCCTTTGTAAAAGTTTTCTTCTAGAAGAGAGAAAACTTTTCAGCTCTGACATAAATATTTAACTTCTGGGGAAAGTGTCTAGTAGCTAAAATTGGTCTTATCGTGCCTTTTTTTTTTTTTTTTTTTTTTTTAAAAAAAAAAAAAAAAAAAAAAAAAAAGAAAATAAAGGAAAAAAAGGACACTGCACTGACATAATACCCCACCATGAAAGACCCTCCAGCACCTAAGAAGTTTCAGTTTGTAAATCTCATAAAGTCCTGGGAGGTAGATTACTCTGAGATAGGATTAACAGGAAGTGGTATTTGGCAAACGCTACCACTCTCTTCAGAATACCTTATATCTTCTTATTATCATCTCTTCTATTACATTGCCTGTGGGAAAATGTACACAGCCTGAACCAAGAATATTTAAAACCTGTTTTTAAAACCATGAATAATATTAATTTGATGTCCTGTCAGTGCTCTTGGAAATTTCAAACCTGTATGTGAGGGACCTCAGACCAAGTCAATAGAAACCTTTCCACCAGCAATAGAGGCTTGAGCTCAGGTTTTAGTCAAAGTTCCCTAATCAAAACCCAAAACTGACTCATGATTCTTGTACCTTCTTGCAATGTTAAGATGAGGCCTTCCAATTACAGGTGGATGGAATTGACCTCAGAGATGCCAGCCACGAACAAGCTGTGGAAGCCATACGGAAGGCAGGCAATCCTGTAGTCTTTATGGTACAGAGCATTATAAGCAGACCAAGGGTAAGCACAAAGAATATGAAAAGAGATGTAATGCATAGTAATAGATTAAACAAATGTTCAAGTTGGTGGTGTTTGGGAATGGGATATTTAATCCAGAAAGCTCCATCTCAGCTATTTTATGAACAAAGATTTGATTTAAGTATTATTTCCATTTAGAATGAAATCGATTTGGATCTGGAATTACCCTCCAGCACGCCATCCTCAAACTATTTTGAAAAACCTCAATAAAAATAATTTGTTGGGGGGGGGCAGAACAGGAGTCTAACTAAAACCAACACTTAGAGATGGACAGCATGTCTGAGGAGTGCATGCAGAAATACAGCACTTGTTAAAAAATTTACTGGACGTTAATGAAGGGACCTAGAAGTACACGGAAGTTTTCCATCATTAAGCTGCATGGACATTGCAGACAAAAGCTACTGAGCTTTAATATAAGTTGCTTGCATCATTAGAAACTAAACTTCCTCATTGTAGAGTCTGTGTAAGCTGCGTGTTTATTTACTAGTTGTCTCATAACTCTTGTTCCCCAGCCAGAGTCTCTTTATAGCCCTTCTTCAGCTTCTGCTCCCTGTGGGCAGAAAACTACTAACCCATTTTATCGCCAGTCATCTAAGGTAAAGTTGCATGAAAAAGCTCTGTTGGTTGTTGGTTATTGATACTCAAGCTACTAAAGCAAGGCTTTTGCATTTGCTGTGATGTGAACAAAATTGCCACTGGTGAATGTTTAGGCCAGTATGGGATGGGAATGCTCCCATTACTTTATCACAACTTACTTTTATTTAGAGAATGCTCCTTTGCTGTTTTTGACTGTAGTTCTTTGTTCTCTTTATTTTCTAATTATTAAGCTTGTTGGTTATTTCTTGACTGTGTATTAACCCTTGTTTCTCTGTAAGCAGAAACATTGCAAATGCTTTTGCTGTACCTAGATGTTGTGTTGTGATCTGTGTAAATGGCATGATATTTATTGTTTTCATCTTTGGAAACTTGCATCTGTACTTTATAATAAGATCTGATGAGGGAATTTCCTGCCTTCATTCATGTGCAGTCACCCAGATAGCTAACTGCCTGCACACAGTAGCTATATTTAATGTGGTACTGTTATGTATTTAGCAATGCAGTCAGTTTCAAGTGAAATGTTGCTAATAAGTCAGTTTCTTCCCCTTTGCTTTTTTCATTCAGGCTGCTGTAGTAGTTAAAGAGATCATAATTATACTTCATAATAGCCCAAATAATGCATATGGTGTGTGCAAAGCTAGTTGATAGTTTTGTTAGCAAGCACTTGTCCATCAGATCTGTGTTTCATGCTGATACTTCTCTGAGTAAGAACTATTTCTTAGTAAGAATTAATCTGTCACCATGGTTATGGTCCCAGATGATTTGTAGGGTTACAGCAGTGTGCTGTATGAAATGCTAGCTAGTTTCTGATACCTTAGCATCGTGGACACATTAATGAAACACTGAACACACGTTAGTCGAAAAAAGAAAATAAAATAATCCTGATATTTTAGGTTTTGTTTTGGAAAAAAAATAGTAAAAGAAAAAATATTGTTTATCTTAGCATTAGCTTTTCTTGTCCTAGACTGTGCAAGAAAGCACGCTAAACCTAATTATTTAGGCAAACTCACATGCTCCATATTTTATCATGGTAGTCAGTCCACATTAATAGTTACATGGATTAGAATTTGAGCTAGCAGTAGTATTTTAGGTGCTATGCCATTATGACAAAATACAGTTGGCAAGATTTTGAATTACTGTGGCTGTTCTTTTGTTTTCTCTTTTACTACTCACTGTTTATATACAAAAAGTTTGTGATGCTTATATAGTTGCTTAAAATTTCATTGAGATACAATTTACAATTTTATGCAGATGACAAATGTAATGGTTAAAGTGTAATAGGATTTTACGCTGGCAAATTACTTTTCCCAAACTTCTCTTAATGAAAGACAAAATCCAATGGGAATCACATAAGTAAACAGAAAATCTTGCTGTACTGCAGGCAAACTGCCTCTTGACTTTGAGTGACTTGCCCATGAAGAAGCCTTGTTCATGTACAGCTCTACTTTCTCATTGCTGAAGATACTGTAGAACCAAGACATATGTTATCTTACCAAATTACATTACTTCTTGGTTTTCAAAATGATATTTGAGAATAAATGTTTAGGGATGCATTTTCTGTTTTCAGTAGCATTTAAACAAAATGCTGTAAGAAAAATTTTAAACAGCAACATATATCTGGATTAAATTACTGTGATATAAATGTATAGTTGATGCTGCAAGCCTTTCACATTCCTCTCCACTTACTATGCTTCTTATTTTCCAGCAACGTTAAACTTGCAGCTGTCAGACATTTAGGCAATTACCAGATGGATACACCTAATGTAGAAATTACTTTTGAGTGTATATTGAACAGTATTTCCAACATACTATGCAAAATCAGAGCTGTTCCCTCTTCATTAAACAGATTCTGATCTCAAAAGATAGTACAGTACAGAAACTCCTTAAGGAATATAAATGGTCAAATTATATCCTTTAATTTTGTCTAAATTTGAAAACTCTTTTTGTGTTAAATAATAATAAGGCAGTACCTTGTATTGTTTAAGGAGAAGACCAGAGATTTTAGTTTCATTAGACTATACATTCAGAAAATAATAGATGCATGCACACACAAAGTCATCTATAAAAGTTACTATTAGATAAGAAGTCTCTATAGAGATGCCTAATACTACTAAACCTTCTCTTTTGTGAAATACACAGTGAGTGTGTTACCACAGGAGGTAAATCAAATAAAGAGAATTAATATGTGGTTTTCAAAATAAAATTAAACCTACTGCATTATTACAAAGGACTGTGTCTTTTCTAATAGAGAAATCTACTACTTTATGATTAATTAATGTGTAAGAGTATCCAATATGCTGAGATGCTTGGACAAAATTGTACAAATATCACAGCAAGTAAATTTTCTGTTGGTCATGCTTCTGAATTCTGGATTTTATGCGCTTTGTGGGCTAGAACAGGTATGAGGATTGGTGCTTTTCCTCTACTCTCTGCTAAAGATAGCTGATACAAACACAGGGCAAAATGCAGCTTTGCTCTACCTTCAGATGTGTGTGGCAAAGTGCAGGAGGCGGACCTTGTTTGGTTAGCACAAAGTGCTAAATAAATATGTTTTGTTCCATGAGTCACAAAGGGTTAATTTTTAATGTTTTTGCTTAGTTTCTATTATGTTTTCCTTTTAGAACCCTTCCCTACCTTTCCCGCAGAACAGTCTTTTCTGTAGAACATCAGTCTTCAGCAGCACTAACCCATTTGCTGATTCTTCTCAGTTCGACACTGACAAGGTTGGATGATGACACATCGTCTGCTTTTGACTCACCAAACATAATATGTGTGCTTCTTTGCCATTAGTGTCTTTCTGCATTTAAATTCTTTTATATCAATTTGAGTAAAATATTGTGCTGATGAGAGTGGAAATTCTGTGTAGTGAATTAAAAAGACACAGACACGCATGCACGTACAAGAGTTCTGAAGAAGTTAAAAAATGCCAGCTCCATTAATAATAACCACTAAATCTGGTCTAATCACAGCTGCCACAGGAGTAGGTTCTCAATTACAAAATCAGTCCCTGTGGTATATTTTTAAATGTCCACTTGAGTGTAACTCATCAGCATGAGGTATTTTGCTTCTATATACTTAATTTTCTTTTTTATGTGATTATGACTTTCCAACTTTTATATCTCTTTTTTCTTTTTGCATGAAAAAAAGCATTGGCAGCTTTTCTTTTATGATGCTGAAAATATTTTCTCTCTGCTTCTTGAAAATTCTTTTAATGCACCGTGAACAAGATGCTGACATCTTTGGAAACATTAAAAAAGTTAGATTTTTTTTTTTTTTGTGGTTAGTGCTTACTGTGTGTTATTCATATTGGGAACAGAGTTAACCTCTAACACAATAATAAAGGCTTAATTCTTATGTGCATGCATTTCTGATTTAATAAATAATTATACATCTTGAGAGTGATTGTGCCCTTTGTCTGTTTCTTCCATATTGTCAAATATATCAAATGTAAAATGAACATTTGTATGATATATGTGGTGTATAATTGCATGTGTGTTTTTGAAGTTTGTTACAGTTCTGAGGAAAGTGAGTAGAAGTGTAACATAAATGATGGCTTGTATTTTCTATATTTTCAAAGGTATTTCTGAAAAAAAATGCACATATTTTTAGAGAAAACTTAGTGGTTTTGCAGTTTCTGCATAATTTCTTTTTTAACACTAAGAATTAGCGTTTTGTCATCTCTGTCCACTTCTGCTGAACTAAGGTTCATGTACAGTAAGAAACTGTGCTGAATCTGGGTCCTTAATAACCACTTTTGTTCATTTATAAAGGGAGTTAATAAAGTTGCTGCAGTTAGTAAAATGACTCCATAATTGAAAATGAGTTATTTGTTAGTAATGCTGTGTATTGCTGGAGGTGCTGTAACACGTGGATTGCTGTTTTCTGTTACTGTAGGAGGTATCAAATCCAATTAGGGTTACCTTCCGTTGTTCCCCAAGTAACCCTTTTGCTCCCACACCATTCAAGGTTTGTCTAGATTCCAGTGAGTGGGTCCTACCGTATGTGTGCTGTACATTTGTACATGGCCTGTGATGCCTTCTGGAGTACTGTTTCTTCCTCCGCATGCGACTCCCTTGTTGAAAGTGATACTGCTCCAGAGTTGCTGCCATTTTTATTATTTGCTTGGCTGTGATCAGAGTGACCCTGGTAGACAAATGGGTTCCTGCACTGTCTGATGCTTTGCATTTTAAATGAAATACTGTGTCATGGCTCACTGAAAGTATTTCATGAGTTAAAGCGTTTAAGGTTTTTTGTGTGTGGCCCGATTCAGGGAGCAAAAGTCTTATGTGTGTGTAAACTGCAGGGGCCAGCTTCTGCTGCTGGTGGTGCATGCGTGGCGGGCTGAGTTCTGGAGGCAGACTGTGGTCCCATCCACCCAAATGACATTATAACACCCTTTTTACCCTTCTCACAAAGGAGCCTTGCTTTTACTTTCATTTCAGCATTTCCTTAAACATCAGACATGTTCATAATGATGTACACGTGCACAGAGGTACAGAAAGAAACATTTTTTGTCAGTCAGATTATGGTGGCTGCAGTTCATAAATGCTAATGTGTCAGGGTGCCATCCATCCATACTTTATGGATCTTCCATAGGTCCTTGACAGAAAGGTGGTTTTGGTTTTTTTTTGGTTGTTTTTTTTTGTTTTTTTGTTTTTTTTTTTTTTTTTTTTTTTTTTGAGGGGGTGTTTTCTCATGTTTTATTTAATTTTGCAAAGTTCTTGGACACTGTAATTTACCAAGAGTACCACTAAAGTGGTATGTTAATTTTGTTTTTTTTTTAAAACACAGAGACTACTGTAAGGTCTGCTGATCTGGTCTGCTCTCACATTGTATTTCCTCATTTTTTCAGTATGTTATGTAGCTTTCTAGCTAAAACTCTAGGAAGCACTCTGAAAAATTAGTGTTTCTAGAACTGCTCTCCCCTTCAACCTTTCTTGAGTTAGAGCTCTGTCACCAGCTTTTCTCCATGATGGATACATGAATTTTTGATTAATGAAAAATCACTTTGAGTTTTATTTAGTAGTGTTTGAACTCTACTGTGATTTGTCTTTGCTAGAACTTTGCTGCTCTGGTGTAAGTTTATGTCTGCCCTGTAACTATTAGCATGTTTTAGAGTATAATGTGCATAAACTGTGAATAATTCCTACATGAAATTTAGTGATGCAAGGTGTCATCTCAGCAGAATGGCATCGTCTTAGCTTTGAGGCACAGATCACTGTGACTGATATAATGATACAAAAAAGCATATAGCATTTATATGCATTTTTTAGAACAATGATTGGCTTGGATGCCATATTAAAACTTCCCACACTTTTGACATTTAATGACTTCTTTGTTAGGCTCCTAGAACAAGTTACTGAATGAAAGGAAAATCTTTTTCAAGCAGATGCAGAATGGGGGAACTGAAGTAGGGCATTTGTGCTTTCTTTAAATCTTAGGAGTATACAGAGAATGAAGGTAACTCATTTTCCCTGAGAGGGGACCTTCCTTAAATCTCAGTATGACTAAGTTGGGAACTCTAGTTTTTTAAACATCTTCAATTTAAAGTGGATTGAAGTCTTCCAAGGTGTATGTTGTTACCCATTTCACTATTACCTCTGATGAAGAAATTGTCTTAATGTTTTTGGCACCCAGGCACATCATCTGACATATTGTGTTTGAACTTTTGCTATTGGAGGAAATCGAAGTTGAAATGATGAGAACAGGGCTGCGAAGCTAAGGAAACACCTGAAAATCCTATTGTTGGAATAATACTTGGTTTTCATATAAATTTTTTTTTGTTTACATCAACATCTGATCTGCCAAGTATCAAAGTCTCTTGGGCATGCATAACCTTCAGAATAATGATATTCAGATATGAGTTTCTTGCCTACGTGCTTACTCTGAGCAAGCCAAAATGATATAAATTACAAACACTTAGCCAAATCCCTGATCAGAGTCCGTATTCCTCAGAGAAACTGGCTTAAATGGAGGCTTGCCAGATTCTGGGTTTGGGTGTTTAACCATTATATTGCAGTAGTCATGTGTTTATACTTTTTAACTTTTTATGAATATGAATAGACCACATACATCAAGACCAAAAGTATTTGTCTCCTTTGTGATTTGGTCTGTATTTTCCTTTATTTGATCTCCCATGTGCAGCTTATAGGAAAACAGTAAATAAGACTGAAAAAGTCCAGTTAACTGTGGATTTCTTCAGCTGTTGTCTGTTTAATTTTGTTTTTAAATTGTCCATTCGGTTAATACACCAGTTATTTTCTTCTTTTTCTGGAGGCATTTTTGAAAGCACCAAGTTCTTAGTTTCCTTTCCATTTCCTCCTTTTTGTCTTCTAAAGCATATGATAGGAAGAATTCATATGCAATGGGTTTTAATAATAAAATTAAGAAATCTTTTACAAATATGGCATTGAAAAAAGAAAAATAGAGTTTTCATAAGGGACTTTTTCTGAATCATAGAGTTGCACATAAAACTTTACTGAATTGGGCTTTTATTGTGAGTTCTGTTTGCTTCTGAATACATTTTGGAGTGATGTTACTCTTACCTTGCCTGGTGTTTGTATCTTTGATCTCTTGCAGCCTTTCTGTGTCGTGTTACTAATTTAGAATTCCAGCAGCTTGATATTTAAACTTCAAAGCCATAGTCGTTGCCATTTTGACAATTTTGTATACTAGTTTGCCCTGCACAGAGTCTGCATTTGCTTAGCCACTGCATTTTTCTTATTCTCCACAGGCATTCAGTCAATCCAATTTAGAGCCAGAAAAGACTTCGCTTTGTAGCTTGCCTCTGCCACCCCCTTCAGCATTTTCAGGAATGAGCTGTGATGTTGCACAGTCATCTTCTAGCAGAGTCCCAGAAGATGTGGAAAAGGAGGATGAGTTTGGTTACAGCTGGAGTAAGTTTATCCTTTGTGATAATGTTTGAAATATTGTGTTGAAATAGCATGGTAGCAAGAGATATGGGGAGGGTCCAGTTTGAACTACTTCGTTCTCATGTGCTTTGTGGTTTGGGTGTTCAGTGTTGCTGTCAGCTTTCAGTTGTGGTTGGTCAGATGCACATGGTGAAATACAAGACTAATTTGTTCTTCTTCATTTCACTCCAGCCTCTCTTTTCCTCCATGATCCAAATTGACTATTTCACATATAGGACTACTTGAAGAATTTCAGTGTACTCTTGGGTAACTGGTGGCAGTGATTGATGTGATAGCTTCTATAATCTGAAGGTGTTACAGGAGGGAAGATTATTGCCTTTATGTGTGAAAAGTCTTTTTTTAAGAGAAGTTTTAATGTTTTCTGAAGTTAGAAGGAAAAGAAGTACTGTTATAAATTACCTAAGTCTTAGCTTAAAAGAAAGTGTGGTGTACACTTAAAATTCTGTGATCCAGTTTGGGATTACTCTGTTAGAATCTGCCTACTGGACACTGATCTTGACTCTCCAGGTGACTTGTGAAACTTTCTAATGTAAATCCAACCTCTGCCGCCCACACTTTTACATTTAGAAAAGATCGTGCAGCGCTATGGAAATCTACCAGGGGAGCTACATGTGATTGAGCTGGAAAAAGGAAGGACAGGCCTGGGACTTAGTCTTGCTGGTAACAAAGACCGATCTAGGATGAGTGTCTTTATAGTGGGAATTGATCCAAATGGAGCAGCTGGCAAAGATGGCAGGTTACAGATTGCAGATGAGTTACTAGAGGTGAGTTTTTGCAATTTATACTGAAACCCAAACATACTGAATTAAAATGCACTAAAATATTTGATTCTTGCTTCAAGGTAGATGTTCTTCAGTGGACTTTGAAATCCCGAAGTAATCCAAGTTGACATCACTATGCTACCAGATTTTTATTTTGTTGTATGCCAGATAGTACTACTGTAACCAGGAAAAAAAAAAAAAAATCCCAGCTGCAACTAAGTAAAGGCGTGTATGTATTTAAAATAGATAAAAAGGGTGGATGACAGCAGTTTCTGGGTTATGGAGATGTATGGAAGTGCAGTGCATTTCAGACCACGCTAAATAATGAAGTCCTTCAGTCCATCCATCTGTGGAATGCTCCAGACTTTCTAATTACTTCTCTGTTTACTAGAATTTTGATAATATCAGAATATTTTTATGTTGTGTAACATATAAAATGGAAATGAAATTGGGGAAAAAGGAACAGATCCATTTGTATTATTGACTTTTAGCTCATTACATATTTGGGCTGTTTTCTAGTGGCTTTGTGGAGGGACCCAACTGCCGAACATATAGCTAGCATTCCCTATATATATGAGTGTAGAGTATATTTTTATATTAACATAGTTCAGTTGATGACACTTGTAGATGTATTCTCTGCTATAGCTTTTCCCATTCTTTCTGCTAGCAGTACGCTCACAGAAATGCTTTGTGGAAATTCAAAACTGTACGTAGAGGTGTTTGAGGATGCACTGGGGTGATGGTACGGGGGGGAATGGTGAGGCTGAACAAAGCTTGAGGGAGATACTGAGAGAATAAAAGATGCAGGTTGGCAGTTGCAGACTAGGAGAGAACCTAAGCGATTTGTGGCACTGTGGACCTAGTCTCATGGAAGGACCTGTTGGTTGCGGAGTCCAGTGTTACATGCTAAGACGGTTCTCTTGAATCAGTTAAAACCTCTATTTTTAAAGCCGGCATGTTGCAAATGCTGAGTATCCTCAGAAGGCATTGAAACACATCTGTCTGAGTCTGCTCTCATGTAATTTCTTGCTTACTGTCCATGCTGTAAACTTGCAAACTGATGCTAAGAGATTGTTTCAACCTCTTCAGAGAGGAGAAATATGAGCTTACTCCTTATGTTCCCAAGTAACTGTCCATCAGCTGTGGCGGGCCATGGCCCTTCCCCCAGCTGACAGCACAAGCCCATGGCAAACACTGGAAGCCGTGCTGCATCTGGATTGTCACCTCCAGTGTAAATAACAGGGCTTCAGTCTCTCTGTGACCATACCTGTGGACACAGCCTGTGTGGGAGCTAAGAGCTTGCTGTTACACTCAACCATCAGTCTAGTGTCTTACATCTGTTGCTTACTGTTTGCTGCTTCTCTGCTTCTATTAGTACTAGCTCAGTGTGTGTTGCACTATTTTCCCTTTGTGTAAGTCCAAACAGTCCTTTACCAATAATTTCCCCTTTCTTAGAGTGGACTTCTGCACTGTAGTTTTCCATTTCTGAGGACAAATGCAACTAATAAAATGTGAGAGAATAATGGCCTTATTCTGCCAATTCACACTGATACCTCCAATTGTAGCTGAATTATAGGAGCTTTAAGGGGTTTCAGTGAATCTACTCTGCCAAATGAAGGCAATGATTGTCAGGTCAAATCTTAAGATTTTAAATGCACCAGTGTTCAGACTCCTGTGGATAAAGTATCTGTCTCAGAGCTGAGATTCAACAAGTAATAGCAATCTTATTGCTGGATATAAGTGATGCATTTATTTGTTATGGTTAGAATTTACCATGGCCCTGGTTTATCATGGCATCAGTCATGAGTTGATCATTAGCAAGTGGAAATAGATGATGTGCTAAGTCAACCCAGTATAACTGAGAGAATGACATTTGTAGCACCATGGCAGTGTTAGTCTGAAATCAAACTATATGGAATTTTTTACTGGAAGAAGGGAGTGAAAGCAAGACACAGCATACTTTGTTATTTTAATATAATTGATGCTTTAACCAGTGATGTGGGATAATGGATATTTTTAAGGTTTAAAAGTTAGTTTAAGCATAAGCACGTTAAAATACCTTGAGAAGTAATTGCTGCCTTCCTTTATGTAGATAAATGGGCAAATACTCTATGGAAGGACTCATCAGAATGCTTCCTCAATAATCAAATGTGCGCCATCGAAAGTAAAAATAATCTTTATCAGGTAAGTTCCAGTTAAAGGTTTGGCTGAAAAGGTTTATTTTTAATATGCTCAAGTTTTGCACAGTCTTTGTTTTATTTTGGTAAGGTTGTTAAATATATCTTGAGTTTTCTGTTTTGATATTTGCATTGCGAGTGCCAAAAATAAAGTAAAAGAAAGTGCTAGACTTAAACTTGTTCTAAGAAATATGGTGCTGTATTACTACATTCTTACTACATTCTTAATTGAATCTATTGTAGAAATAAAGATGCAGTAAATCAGATGGCTGTTTGCCCTGCAAAGTCAGTAGATGCTTCACAGTGTACTTCAGGGACACTTCAACATCAAGAGGTAAAGTAAATTTTTGTTTTTCTCAGTTAACTGAGATACTAACATTGTCCTGGATAGAGGAGTGCCCTGTCTGCTTAGGAAATACTACAAAAGAAAAAGAAATCCAAGGGAAAACCAAATGAGGTTTTAGTAAGCTGCTAAATTTAGTACAGCTGTGCTCAATTCTGTTTTATTTTATGTTCATCTAAACTATGAAGTAATCGACCGTTCCCCTGAATAGGGTTATAGCAGTTTAAATGAAGCCAGAAAATTATCAGATCCACTTTATATGTTTGTGTGCTATTTTATTTTGATGAAAAATGTTGAATATAGTTGCTCACGGTTATGTTTTCATTTTCAACTAGATTGATATCAGTGCTGCAAACTCCAGTGCTTGTTCTGACTTCAGTTCATGTAAAAATATTCAGTATGTGGAACTCCCTAAGGTATGTGCTGAAGATTAAATTCACATCAGCCACATTTGTATTCACTAGCTTACTTTTTTGTAGTGGAGTCCCTCTTATGTCAAGCAAACTTACTTACTTACTGAAAGTCAGAATAGAGATTTGAAGAGGTCTTCTCTTCCTATTTGTGAATGGACCCCAAAGTTTTCCTGACATAACTGTCTTCGGCAACCTCATGAGTCTCTAACTTCACAAAAATTTGCCAATTGCTCTGTGTCTCTGGAATAAATCACCTCTTTTCCTATTTGCAAAACTTTTGGTAACCAACTGCTGGTGGTGCCTCAGGTAAAATCATTGCTTTAGTTGTTCAAAGTAAATGAATTAGCAGATTATAAGCACCAAATCCCCCCAAACAACATACATATTTAGTGGAAGTTGTGCAGCTGGGAGAAAATGGCCAGGTGTTCTGTAACTTCCAAATGAGGGTGGAAAAATTGCCACTCCTGCTTATTGACATGGAGAAGACATTTGCATTCAGCGGATATTCAGATAGAGACGAGTGGACTGCTAGTATGTGTTTCTCCGTGGAAGGCATCCAGCCTTCCATTATTAACTAGGAGAATATTTTATGGTGGTATCTAGATGATTTAATTCTAGGTGAAAGCATTAGGAAAATATCACTCTGCCACAAACATTTACTAATTTCACAGGAAGAGCATATATTTTTTTAGCCTCTCTATTTTCCACTCCTGTGTGTATTTTTAACTTGGTTTTAAATAATTTAAGCTATGTTATGAAGTTATGTTTACCTCAGTCTGTAGTTTCTAAATATTTTGTGTTTCTTACTCCTATTTATGAATTTAAAAACTGAATCACAGTTGACCTTATAAGTTTCAAAGGCGTGGATTTGAATTTAGAAGTGTTTCAGATTTATCATGGTAGACAATATACTGTTTGTAGGTTGACAAAATCTGTTTCAGAAGTAGATTAGTTTAAAATAAAAATATTGATGCATTGTGAAAACCCAAATTTTTGTTACATCTGCAGTTCTTCACTAGTCTTTACTGAATGTATTCTAACATTTTGATAAACACAGTACATAACCACTTCCATTTCTCTGTTTGCCCCAGGATCAAGGAGGCTTTGGAATTGCCATTAGTGAAGAAGACACAATTAATGGAGTAGTTATTAAAAGCTTAACAGATCATGGTGCAGCAGCAAAGGTGTGAGAACATTTAAAATCCAAATAGGGAATGAAAATTTTTTTTTGGAGTACCATCCAGAGCTCACATTTTTTATTCTGTGCTGTTTCCAGGATGGACGAATCAAAGTTGGAGATCAGATCTTGGCAGTGGATGATGAAATTGTTGTGGGATATCCGGTAGAAAAGGTGATTCTGAAGTGTCAGAAATATTGCAGAAATCATAACACTTACTGTTGGAGGTTACTGTGTTTTAAACAAACCAGTGAGGGTTTTGTGCCTGAACTCTGACTTCATTTTCAAAGCTGGTTAAAGAATCAAAGATTCTCTGACATTGGATATGGAAACCACTGCAGAATAAGCTCAGAACTTAAGCTCAGCTGCTATTTTGCATTAATGCACTACATGAATCATCTATCTCTGTGCTACAAATATGTTGTTTTTTTTTTTTCCCCTGTGGTTCAGATCTGATGACTGAGAGGCACTTAACTGTGGGATAAAAGCCATGAACTGTTGCTCAATCATGACTCTTCATAGCTACTCCACTTTAAAAGTACTATAACCAGTAGAATTAATATGCATAAATTCACATGGGTGAGTTGCATCAATGGTAAATCAGGTCATGAACTGTGCTTATACATAGGGAGTGTCTGTAATAATGGCTTCATTATATTACAAGCCTGGTATTTCAACCCTTTGGAGAAAACTGTCTCCATTCCTAGATAACAAAATTTATTTCTAATTTCTGGCTCTGCAAACTCAGTTTGGGTTCTGTAGCAAATTAAGGCAGGCTTTTTTCTAGCACCTGCCTTGCTACCAAGAAAAGTGATTATTTAGTCATGAGAAGATTACCTTCTGTTTGTTAAAGGGCAATTAGGAGAGCACTCATCTTACTTTTTGATGTGCTGCTGTCTCTAAAGCAGTAAATGTGTAAGAGTGAAATTTTCTGCAGGGAAGCAGGTAGGCTTTGGAAGAAGAGGCAGAGATATAGAATAAGTAATTTCTGAAAATACTTCTAGTGAAATGTGAAGACTTAGGAGGATTTGGAGTCTTTTCTGTGAGATGACAATTTTGAAGGTTATTCGCTATCCCTTTAAACTAGGTCTATGCATTACACCCTAGTGTCCTTCTCCCTCTCCCATAGTTCAGGTAATATTTTCAGATTTTCCTTCCAGCTGTGCATCTGATTAAGGATCTAGGATGGCAAATCATGTTTATTTAAATCAGTAGATGTTTTGGCATTGGCTTCTGTGGGATCAGAACTGGACTTCACCCAAGCATTAAAAGACAATACTAGTTTTTCAATTTTTCTAATAATTGCTATAAACATAGTATTTTGTCCAGAGAAGAGAAACCATTGGAAGACTACTACACTCTCTTCTGGTATAGTTTGGTAAAGTTTCATGGAAGATACTTGATTAACATCAGCCAGGCCTGTCCCACAGTTAACTCTATTACTATTTCTTATAAAAACTATCAATATTTGTTCTTGCTCACTACCAAAAATACCTGCATGATTGTGACTTGTGGTTCATTTACAGAACAGTTCTTTGGCTTTATTTTTGTTTTACAACTGAACAGTCCAGTTACTTTCTTCATCAGCTTTTCTCTTTATCATTCAGTTTATTAATCTTCTGAAAACATCTAAAACTATGGTGAGGCTTACAATCAACTCAGCAGAGATGGACAGCCCGACTGCAGCACCAGTCCCTTCCAGCACTACCCCAGCCGAGAGGAGGAATATGCATCTGCCAGCAACTGTCCTCTCTTCCAGCTCACCAGAACCAGAAACAGTCAAAAGTAAGGTTCTCCATGTGTTTCTGTCTTTACTCTGGTTGTGACATAAAAATAAAGACCCAGCTTGTAAGCAAGTTTTCTCTTTTTGTATGCACTCAGCTGTCTTCTGAGTTGTATTTTCTAGTACTTCTGGATTAAAGATCCTCCTGAATAAAGCAGTCAGGCTCCACACCAAAGACCTAGAGCTTACCTTCCCACTGCCTGCTGTAGAGACAAGAGGATGGAGGTATTTCTTTCTCCCTCCCAAAGCCTGCGCAGCAGGTGACTCTGTCATGGTTGTCTTGAACTAAGTGTCCTTTAAATGAGGGAGAAAAATCACGTCATCTTTCCTAGCACAGGGGAATGGTTGAGACTGTGTTGCCCTTTATGACTAGCTACATTTGAGTCTTCAGCTTTAGAGTGGAGAGTCAACATGCAACTGATTGGTGATGGTTATTGTTTAAGCAACACACTACTAAGAAGCTAATAATAACTTGAGTAACATGTTCATCACAGTTTATTTATATGTACTTCATTGCAAGTATTACTGAGTCATATTTATGTTGCTTATTACTAGCAGTTATATTGATACGTAATTATACTATTATAAAGAAATCTTAATATTTCTTCCCTTCTGCATTTAGTTTTAGGGTAAAATCTATTGTTTTGTCCAAGTTTGTCCGTCCCATCTCCACCCTGCCACAGCAAGTCTTGGGGATAAACACCTGATGGAGCAATGCTCCATTCAGCACCCTGGGGATTTGTGGTTACAACTTGGCTTCACTACCATTTACAGGCATCCACAACACAACCGTTGGAAGTTCTCTCTCCTTTTGGTTCTTCACCTGATTTTATAATTTATTTCCTTGCTTTCCTTTACCAAGTCTACCTTTTTGCTGCCCCTGCACCTGGCTTTCTCTGAACAGACTCCTTCCAAATAAGCAACCCATCCCTAACTACTTTCTCCCTATTGGTCTTATTTCCACTACATCTCTACCCAACTTTGGTGTTTTCAGCACTGCTATGTAGTCAATTTTGGGCTCAATACTGATGCAGCTATCCAGATGAGGTCAATCTTGTATACCAAGACTCCCTCCCAATTCCTGAGTTAATGTATTTCATGTACACTTCATGCCTTCTGGACAAATTATTATACTTAAGCCTTGACTCCCCTGCTTGGCTCGAACTAAGCATGAGCAGTTGCTCATCATACACACAAAGAACTTGCATAACAGAGTAGTCGAGTAACCTGTGCTATATTCAACCTTTACCCTTAAAAAGCCTTCATTGCCCCCCTGTTTTCTTTCAGAGGCCAAGACTCCTAGATTTGAGGCTTAGTGCTCCTGCAGGACCTATTGTTTACACTAGACCTAAGTGTTTGTCTGACATAAATCCCTACTGCTGAACGCCCAAGTCCTCTGTTAGTTCTAGTGAGACTTCTTTTATTCAGTGCCCTTTCAAAGTGCCTCAGAAAGATTTAGATGCCTGTTTTTACCTTTTGGAAAAAATGTAATTTTGGTGTTTCTTTAAAGCACAGCGGACATCAGTGATAGGGATAATCTGAACATCTCAGACATTTTGATTGCTGATTCTTTCATTTAGTTGCTACACAATATCCTCTCCTAGTATTTTTTAGATTTTTTTTTTCTGTGAAGGATACAGAGCTGACTAAAATACTGAAGCAAAGATACATTTGTGATGTACTAGAGATACTGAATTTACAGATAAATTGCTATGTAAGGATGCCATATATATTTTCACTATGAGAATATATATTTACACCACGAAACTTACTGCTTCCAAAAGCTGTGTCAGTGGCCAGTTAAAAGTTTGACTGGTGTAAAAAAGTTCTTTTTGAGGGCCACTAAATATAGTGATGTATATAAAACCTTTGACTTGACCATGGATTACTGGACTTGTGAAATACCACTATATTTGATTCATACTTGGTCCAGGTACTTGATGGTATAAAAATGAGATAACTGCAATTAGAACTACAGGATAGTACTTGTCTGAGGGGAAGGGAGAGTTGGCAGCATCATTCTCTGTAGGTCAGCTGTTCAGCTCGTGCTGTAGATCTGTCAATGGACTCTCAAAGTGATGTCTTAAAGTCACTTTTCTAATATTGAGCCCTCTTACTGTAATCAGGATGTTTAATTGTTGTTTTAGACACAAGCAGATCCTCAACTCCAGCCACGTTAGCCTCTGACCCAACTACTTGTCCCATCATTCCTGGATGTGAAACAACCATTGATATCTCCAAAGGGCGGACTGGTCTTGGTCTGAGCATTGTTGGAGGAGCAGACACTTTGCTGGTTGGTTTGAAAAAATATGTGTGTCACTCAAGTAAAATAACAATAATGAAATTAAAGTGTCTGACAGAAGAGATTTTTTCTTAATTTGTTTCTGTAGCATTTATAGAAAGATACCACAGACACCAGTTCAGGGAATAAGAAAAAAAAGAGGGGGAAAAAAAAAAAGAAGAAAGCACTTTTAAAATTGAAAGTATAAATTAACTTCCTAAATAGTTTGGTAATTTGTTCATCATACACCTGACTGTTTTGTTAATCACTGATGAATTGTAGTAGAAATTTTCAGATATTCTTGGTTCAAAGTAGGGGCATGTTCGTTCAATGTACAATTTATTTTTGTTTTATTTATCCACAGGGAGCAATCATTATTCATGAAGTATATGAGGAAGGAGCAGCATCTAAGGATGGGAGACTGTGGGCAGGGGATCAGATATTAGAGGTGTGGCAGTTTCTTTGGTTGCTTTTATTGTCGTTTGCTAGCTAGGCATATTCTGTTTGTTTGCTAGAAGGTTCTGCACACTTTATCATGTATGCTTTCATTTCAGGTGAATGGGATTGACCTCAGGAATGCCACACATGATGAAGCAATAAATGTTCTCCGGCAGACTCCCCAAAAAGTTTGTCTCACTGTGTACAGAGATGAGGCCCAGTACAAGGAGGAAGACATGTATGATATACTTAATATAGAGCTCCAGAAGAAGCCTGGCAAAGGCCTTGGGCTGAGTATTGTTGGGAAAAGGTATGAATGTGACTGGGGAGTCAATGTCTGGGACTTGCTGGACATGCTCATGTTTCCATTGGGGTCTGGTGATCAGATCCTGTGGGCTTGAAGGCTGTACATGTCATTTTTGTGCCTGAGTTAATTGGCCATTCCTAGAGGAACTAGCCCAACATTCAACATAAAAATGAGACAACATATATTGTATTCTCAATAGCAAGACATAAAAATGGCCCTCAAACAATTCTATAATGCAAAATCCATCTGTGTATTTGCAGAAATGATACTGGGGTGTTTGTGTCAGATATCGTCAAAGGAGGAATAGCAGATGCAGATGGTAGATTGATGCAAGGAGACCAGATATTGACAGTGAATGGAGAAGATGTTCGAAATGCTAACCAGGAGGCTGTTGCAGCTTTGCTAAAGGTATTGGGAAAAGACAAGGTAGATAAAAGTGAAGAACTGAGATCCAGATTTTTTGAAAGCTTTAGTTTTATTCAGAGTTCAGGCTTTTACTGAGATGTCAATCAGAATGATCTGTGGATCCGAATTTAAGCTTCCTGAAATCTAGAGCATTCAGATTTTGATACTTTGCCTGATGAAAATGGGAGTAGCAGTGCTGAAGAGTGCAATTTGTTTATAGGACAATAGAATGCCATTACCTAGAACAACCTAAAACTTAACACTATATTTTCCCCAACAAACTGATAACTGGTTGACTGTCTCACATTTTCAGAAAAATATCCAGAACTGACTTTAAATGCTGGAGAATTCATCAGAGCAGTTGTGCCAGGAAGTGATTACTTTCATAGTTGATAATGTTCATCTTTTTTTTTTTTTCATCTGTATGTCTGGTGTCACCATATATCCATTAAATACTATAATGCATTTTCCAGTGACCAAGGCATCTAATATAAGAAATTGCATTCTCACAAAGATAACAGAAGTAAACTCCTATCTGCAGCTCTTCAAAACAGAATTTCTGTTCTCAGTAAATTTTTTGCTTCTGATGTAGCTCCCACTGACTTCCAAATCAGAATGAAGTCAGATATACAACATTTCCTGTGGTCTGGCAGGAAGTCCAGCTGATCAGCCAGCTTGACTATTTTCCACCCAGGGTTTTGAGACATTCCTGCTGCGTGATAAGGATCCCATCGAGTCAGCATTTTCAAATGGAAAACTGTTCCACTGGAAAAAATTTAACAACCACTACTCATAGCTGACTCTTGGATACGTAAACCCATGGTCACACTTCTTTGCACTCGCATTCAAAGGTGTATTTTTCCAGATGTTGAACAGTTCCCCAAGTTTGATTTTTTTTTTTTTTGTTTTGTTTTTTGGTTTGGTTTGGTTTTGGTAGGGGGTGGAGTGGGGACAAGAGTTAGAAAGGGAAGGTAGGAGCACTTTTTCTGTATTTTCAGCATATGCCTGTAAGTGAGAATGTCAGAACTGGGTCTCTGTTCTGACAGTGAACTCATAAATACACTTTTCTGGGGTAATAGTACTTTTCTGTTCTTACCTGATACTTTATCTAAGGACAATGTGCTGCTTCTTCATATCCTTCACTTATACGTCTTCTCTAAATGAAAATGCCATTTTATGTGGAAATTTTCTTTCATTTTGGCAAGCATTTTGGAGTATCTAATTGAAAATTCTTAGTTCCCATTTATCACTTGTATATTAATGTTCAAAATACTTCATCCCACTCAGCAATACTTGTAGTTAATTGTTCCAGCCCTGAGAAATTAGTCTTTTAGAATTCCTCAGATATATTATTGTTAACCATTCTGGTTTGTTCACACAGTATAAATGGTGTTAAATTTGATCACTCACATGTAAGCAGTCACCATTTTTCGTTCAGGTATCAGTTCTGTTTTCATTCATGAGGGTAAGATCTAGGAGCAAATTGTACGGAACTTCCTGAAATGTATTCTGCTACAAAATTATTTATAATATGTATTTTAAGTAGCATGCGACTACTAGAATGTGTCACCAGGATGAGAATTCTGCCTGTTCGTGCAGTGTTTCTTTTTAGATATCCCTAAAACATATGAAAAGCTGATCATTTTTTCCCCTTACTTGATTTGTTGATTTATCAAATGGGAGATTTCAGAAGAGAGAGCAAGCTGTAATAAAACTAAGTGTGAACCGATTTATTCACAAGTTCAGTTGGAAAGTATTACCTCCCACTTTTACACATTATAACTTTTAAATCTCATTTGTGGGTTTTCATTTTATGTGAGGATGTGGTAATTTCAGGTACATATATTACTTCCTCAGTTTTACATTTTGGCTGAGAGTTGTCTGTATGTTTAATACAAGTCAATTCATGCAAGTGGGAAAGAATGGTTTTGCCTGAGATTTGATCACGTCTTTCCCAGGATATAGAGAAGTCAACGTTATTTAAAAAAAAAAAAAAAAAAAAAAAAGGCAATTTAGTAATAAATCTCTTTTACTGTCACCCCTAAGAGAATAGCAATAGGTTATGTGATATAGAAACCCTATTTGACTGGATATATCCTGTTGTTGGTTTTGGTATATTGATCTATTTCTTCCTGTGAATTTTCTGACAAATACATGAACCTCTCTTAGGGTAATACAGCCAAAGCATGATAAATAAAGGCAAACTTATGCAATATTAAGTTTTTTGGATACAGGAGTTCATACCAACAACTTCCCAGTGGAAGAAAGAAGGAAAAGCAAAATAGCATCAAAACTTTGAAATTTCTGTATTTGAATATGCTGCAGATAGGTGGTCTTCTTTTGGCACCAATTTTTTTAATTAGGAAGTCCATTTTTCTATATGTTGATTGTGGTAATACCTTATCCATCTATTTCCAAAATCAGCCTAATGTCTTGATTGCTCAATATTTGATTGAAGGGTGAATTTTCTTCTGAGACATTCATTGTGTACAGACATGTAAATGCTTAATAGTATAATTAAAATCTTAAAGAGTAGTGAAAGAATTGTCCAGTGTACAAACAGTCCATATCACCCAGCTTCTTGTTGGCAGTCAGATGCAGATAGGTCACTTAACATATAGATAGATGTTTGGGAAACATCCTGCCCAAAATTTCTTTAGTTACATTGGTATGAATGCAAAGTAACAGAAAATTTCAAGAACAAGAGAGGAATGACTAACTACCAGTTTAAATACCATGTTGTCAGTCATATCAACAGATATAATGATTAATACTTTGAAGTGTTACACTATTTTGTGTTTATTGTGAAAATAGTCAATTTCAGTATTACTTGAAAAATGCCATCTTGAAAATATATGTTGACATTACAGCTGTAAGCCAGAACTACTCTGTGTGAAGAAAAGGGTAACAGAATTAATCTTCTTGTGTAATTTTCACTTCTGTATTGTAATACTGATTAATCCAAAAGGTACCCTGTTCAGTATTGAATATCATGCTGTACTTAGTTTATGTGGCTCTGAACATGCCATGAGCTCCGTCTGCTCAGTGCTCTTCGCAGGGTTGTTAGCCTGTTATTTTATCTTCTGTACATAGTTTTCTTCCATCTAGTGACTAAAAAGTATCATAGTGATCTAATAAGTGACTTATATATTGTTAGAGGCTTTAATGTTGTGGACAGAAGAGATATAAGTGACTGGTTCTTTAGTGTTCATTAGGTACGGTAAGACTAGAGGTTGGAAGAATAAAAGCTGGTCCATTCCACTCTGAGAGGAGAACATCCCAGAGCAGCCAGGTGGGTAACTGTAAAACTGTTCAGTTTGGAAGAAATAATGGTTAAATAATGAAAGCAAAGAAAAAGAATTGGGTTTATGATGATGATGGTTTTCCACATACCTGATCCAAGATGAAGAAAAGTAGTTTTTATCTACTTTGCAGCCTTTCAGTAACTATTTTATGTGTTCACTTTAACATATTTTATCTGCTAAAGACATGATCCAGCCAAAAATGTAATCCAGAAATGGCTTTGCTGTGCTTCATAGTCTGTTTTTTACAGCTCCAGCCTGAGAAGCAGAGAGAGCTCTGATTCTCATCCATACCAGAAGTAGTTGGAGTGGACTTTAAACCTCTTTTAGTTTAGGAGTGCCTGGCATGCAATGGAGTATTGTTTCAGTAAATTTAGTGAATTTCTCCACTCCTAGCATATTCTTACTGTAATCTTAGTCATCAGAAGCAGGAAACCTGCACCCTCAGCCTTTTCTCAAGTTTGTTTATTTTATTGTTGGTCTAATGGTGGAATGTTATAAACCTACATCAGTTTCTGCATTTCAGTGGATCCTTTATGTAGTAGCAGCTCACATTGTGATTTACTCCAGTAGCAGCTATGTTTCTGAGAGCTCACAAGTTACCATAGAACTTTCTGTGGTTATAAACTGGGCATGCAGATCATCAAGTACTGAAGATACATAGTTATAAGACAAATCATACACAGTTTCAAGTGAGCAGGTTAAGACTGGGTAAGACCTAAATGTTAGGCTCTCTTCAAAATGGATAATGCCAAACAAGATGAAAACATGGAGGCTCTGGATGGTCTTAGTCAGAGGCAGCTCACAATGTTGAACGTTTTGAAGAGTGTAACAGTCAGTGAACTGGTCTCACTGGGAGTCATGTTGTTCCTTTACATTGCCCTGTTGGTATAGTCAAAATCTTTCTGGAAATAGTGCAGGTGAATCTGAGTGGAGTACATAATCTTAGTTTTAGCTGATGCGGTGGGTGAACATGAGAGTACACGTGTGGATATATAAAGATCTGTCTCTTTGTATTCTGTCCCTGCCTTGATAATCGTGACTGACTTTTGCACCAGAAGATGAGATGACAGAAAGTACAAATACAAGGACACAGTCCAGCCCTCAGAAGCATCATTTCAAAGCACCGCATGGAGTTGGAGGCATGCAATCTGTTGGTCTAATGATGTTTCATACAAGGAGCCCTCTAGAGTGACCACGAAATATGTGGAAGTTCACTGTGTTAGCTTTAACTGGGTACAGAAAAAGTAAAAATACAGCAAAATCTGCTGAATACAGTGGGTTACAGTTTTACTTTTGTCAATTGGGTGTCTGAAACTGCTGTCTAATCCCAGTCTAACACTGTATTTAGGTCAGTGAAGGAAGTGGCAGTCTCTCATCATTCAGTTTCCCGGTTTCTGGGTCCAGTGCACCTGAGGGCTTTGAAAGTGGTCTAAAGAAGAATACCAGTAAGGTTTCCTTGGTGTTTTCACTATTTTATCTATGTGAACTGGTATCTGAGATCTTTTACTTTCTCAAAAATGATGTCATTGTGTGCTGTAGGCCTGAAAGTGATTCCTTAGTCGTTAAAACAGTGAAGGGGTGGTTGATGTACAGTGCATCACATATATCTTGAATAGCTTTTTATAAAAGAATCAAGCAGCTTGTTATACCAGCAGTTTAGATATTGAGAACCTAAATTAAGCCATAATTTTCTATTTAATCTAAATACATCTTCTGTCGACTTGTCTCATTCATAGAAATCCAGATACTGTGTAGTTAAATGAGAATAGATGTGGAATAGCTGTCTTGTACTCAAATTTAAAACAGTTACTTCAGACCAACGTATCCCTAGCAAATAATAGTTTTTCCTGTTCTATTTGAGCATGCTTAGCAGTCTTATTCCAAAAGTTATCTATGTGGAGAAAATGAATGACATTTTCACCCATTCTAAAAAGTATTTCAATCCTATTAACTTAATGACAGCCACTTTCAAAATCTGTTTAAAACATATGTCCGTAATAAACCAGCAGAAAGTCAGAATCATCATAGTGGTTTGGATAACTTTAACGGAAAAGTTTCCTGAAAACTACAGTTTAACTTTTCTTTTTTTAATTTAATTTCACAGCAGCTTCTGAAATACAGGGACTAAGAACAGTTGAAATAAAAAAGGTAAGTTACAGCATGACGGGGTATATATCAGGAACTGGTTTTGTAGGTATTGTCAGTATGTTAACAAAAAGCAAGAAGTCTGTATCTGTTAATCATTTTGAGAGAGGAATTGATGTGGCAATAGCTAATTAATTTGCTTATCTTTTCAAGTCAAGACTATATGATCTCCACTGCCTGTATTTTTATGTACAATCAGTGCGATTTATGCTATCAAATTTTGTGGTCTGTTTTGAAAACAAAAGGAAGAAGTATTAGTAAGAGATAATGGGACCTAGTTTTACTGTTATCAGACTGAGTTAAATCCAGACTCTGTTTTAATGAAATCAAGAGAGCTTTACCAAACTTGCAAGCCCATTGTTTGGTACTTCATATTTTCCCTCACACGTATTTTTAATGGGCAGGCCCTTTACATAACATCTGCCAGGTTTTCAACTGTGAGATTCAATTGATTTCCTTATTTACAGGAGCATGAGATCTGAATCACAGACTGCTTCTGATTGTCCAAAATATTTGTATTTATTTGACTTTCTTTGGCATCTAGTTCACTTGATTACTTGGATGGTATTTAGCGTTTCTCTTTTTACAGTTGAATCTGCAAATACCAGTTTATAGTCGCAGTTTTTGTAGTTAGGCAATAGACTGTTGTACAGTAGCGAATGGCTAGTTTTGTTCTTCAACAATGGAACACTAGGGGGAGCATGAAGGTTAATTCTAATCTTTGAGAGGTTCATAATAGAAGATTGATACAGGCAATATTAAGGACAAGTGATCCCATCTGTCCAGTGTTCCATGCACGGACTTTCTGTGCTGACTTTAAGGGTTCGACACTGAATTCTGTAAGTATTTAGTTTGATTAAGATAAAATATACAACTAGATCATCAAATTGTCACCTACCGCTGATAGGAAGAAATAGGTATTGTGCTCTTCGTACTTTCTTGAAATGATGCAAATTGTATTAGTTTAAAAAATTGCTTGAGACATAGGTATTGTGATTTTCAAAAGATAGGGGCTTTAGTAGTTTTTTGAGATAAGCCTACAATTCTCTGTATGTGTTTTTCTTTTGGGAAAAATCTAATCTTTTTTCATTACAATAACAGGGTCCTGCAGATTCACTAGGAGTCAGCATTGCTGGAGGTGTAGGAAGTCCTCTTGGAGATGTTCCTATATTTATTGCCATGATGCATCCAAATGGAGTTGCAGCGCAGACTCAGAAACTCAGAGTAAGTTAATTGTTAAGAAGGTTGTAAAGATTGCATGGGTAGTGCACAGTAATTACTCTAGACAGGCAATAAATTAGCAGTTTAATGATACAGTCATTGTCTGTGACAAGAATTTTTGCTGTTTGGATTGACAAAATAAGAGCTCAGATTGGTAGCATGGTAAAAGGTAACTGCTGAAAGATACCAACTTTGGGAAGGAGGTCCTAATGCAATCTTGGATCATAGAGGTATTCAGCTTGTGAAAATTAAAGGTAGAGAGGATGATTCAGAACAATAGATTCTGTAAGTAAGCTCCACTGATGAGTGTGGTAGTCATGCCTGCAACTGTACATATGCAGACTGTTTTGTCTCTCACGTTTTCTATGCTTATCTGTTTTAGGATATAGATAGTGCTTTTTAGGTGCTCAGTTAAAGTGGAAGGTCTTATCTGATACAGCATTTACATGCATACTATATCCAATGTATACCAGTGTTGGCTGAATTTGACTCATGCTTCTTGGAAAATGGACAATGTTATTTCAGTATCAATTCAGACATATAATTTCTCATGATAATTTACTACTTCAGTCTGTCTATCTTCAGGTGACATGCAAAATGCATCTCTTTTTTTACAGGCTGGATATTTCTCGAGTGTTAGGATCAATTCTGTAAATCATCATTACTTTTTTACACTGAACAAACTAAACCAGTGTAATTTGTTAATTGTTATGTTGAATTTTCTACCTTTATATTGGGTCATTATGTAACTCAAAGAGTATTTGCCTTCAAGAAAAAATGTACAGTGAACAGTTGGTAATTTCTTTCTTCCTGCCCTATATCACTGATAAAATCTGACTAAATGCAAATACACAGATCTGCTGTTGTTGAAAGGAAGTGACAAATAAACGTATGTAACTAAACTTACTGTTATTTAGATTTTCTACATTCTCTTCTGCAGGTTGGGGACAGGATTGTTAGCATCTGTGGAACATCTACTGAGGGCATGACTCACTCCCAGGCTGTTAGCCTCTTAAAAAATGCTTCAGGCGCCATTGAGTTGCAGGTAAAAAATCTTCAGTGACATTTGGAATATTTTCTGAATACTATTTTGCCAGCTGCTACAATAAATTATTTTAGTGTCAGCATTCTCATTTTACTGGTTTATGAACTCTGTTCCTAGGTTGTAGCTGGAGGAGAAGTGAGTGTCATAACTGGTCAGCAGCAGGATCCACCTACATCCAGTCTTCAATTTGCAGGACTAACTTCAACCAGCATTTTTCAGGATGATTTAGGGTCAGTAACTATAGAAAATACAGCCTCTGTATTTTAGGTGGAACTCAACCAAAAAAACTTAAAAATTCTAGCAAATAATTGAAGAGTTGTTTGACTTAATGATGACTTGCACATTTGATACACGAGACCTGTAGGCCATAGGTCCTCTTCTGCATTTTTCATGATGTGATTTGCTGTGCTGCTTTATTTTGCCTCTCTGTAGTTATGATGTTATTTGATTTCTTCTCTGTAAATACAGCCTCCTTTGTTTCACTGACCCTTGCTAGCTGGGATTAATTGGTACACCCAAAGTACTTTTTCTCAGACTTAAATAGCAAGGCCCTTTCCACAGTAGTACCTGTGTTGCCATATAGTGCTTTCTAACTCTGAGGTATGAGGAGCATCTAACTTTTCTGGTATACAAGATAAACTGTGGTACATTGCAAGATACAGCTATGTAAACAAGTTTTGCCTCAAACTCTGTCATAGATCTGAGGCATTTTTCTTCTAGGAACAGGGAACAAGGGAGTGAGGTGCTTTAGCCACACGAATCTACTCAGAAAGATAGAATTTCAAAATTTCTTATAATCAAAGTATATGTGGGGAAATATACCTTCAAATGGTCTGTATAAATGTATACATACATACATACACAGTCATATATTAGAGGAGGACAGTAGCATTTAAATCTTACAGTGTAAACTTCTGGGGCTAGTTTTAGATGTTTTTTAGGAGGTGTAATGGTTTACAGGATTTTTAAAGTAGATGTTTGTTAGGGAGATTCACGGTACTGGTATTGCATCTCTACTTCGCTGGTAAGCACTGTTTGTGGGACACTGCAGCTATAACTATTCCCCGAGCTGGGTGAAAAAGGTGTTTGAAATAGCCAGTTCATTATAATAAAAGTATTTGTAGTTACACTGGAAAGGAAAATGTATTGCTTAGCATGAAAGGAAAAATGTTTTTAGTTGACTCTTCTGCATGTTGACTCATAAGTTCAGACAGCACTACAATATTCTTTTTCCTTTTCTTAGACCTCCTCAGTACAAGACCATTACTCTGGATAGAGGACCAGATGGCCTAGGCTTTAGTATTGTGGGTGGTTATGGCAGTCCCCATGGAGACTTACCCATTTATGTGAAGACAGTGTTTGCAAAGGTAAGTGTAAATTTGTTCAGTCAATCTATTTATTAGTTAGTTTGCAGCAGCTACTATCTTAAATCATGGCCTGAATTTGAAGCCAAAGGTTTGTTAGAGTTTCTCACAGCTTTTCTTCCTTAATGCAAGTTCTGGTCAAAATGTGCTTGCAGTGTTTGAAGGCTATAGTCTTAGGAAGATTCAGAATTTCCATATGCATGTGACTGCATTTGGCAGAGTCATCTTCAACTCTCAAAACTGGAATTGTGCACATACTTAGAGTAACAGCCCCCCCTTGCCTTATGTTTAGGTTGTATTTTCTTCAGGTAGTAGAAGGGACTGTTTTATTTATTTTGACTGAGAGTCTAAAAGGTAGACCAAGAAAAGATAATTGAACTCAGTCTGGACCTTTGGAAAAGTTCAGGTACTGACCTGGATTTGGTAGTTTGGACTGCCCCAGGAAACAGCCCTGAGTCAAAGAAAACTGGAATCAAGAATCCCAAACTTTTATGGTAAATCAAAGTGCACAGGTGGGTTTTGATTACTGAATTTCTTATACCAGTTGCTGAAAATTTCTTCTGGTCTTGAAAATTTTACTTCTGTGATTGCAGGGTTTAAATGTTACACTAGCTGGATGAACAGGGTTAAGTTAATATAAAAATTCTATAGATCTGTTTTCTAGAACTTGTGAAGCTTAGACAGGGCAGGGCTTACTGCACCACTAGAAGGCTGTACTAGAATTGACTGTATTTGAATCACTGAAAATCAAAAAAAGTTTTAAGGGGTTTTGTGCACTGAACCCATCTTATTCAGACCATAAGGACAGTGTGGCAGGGAGAAAAAGAAATTGATGAGTTTGCAGTTACATGTTATATCATTTCAGGGTGCGGCAGCAGAAGATGGACGCCTGAAGAGGGGTGATCAGATCATTGCTGTGAATGGGCAGAGTTTAGAAGGGGTGACCCATGAGGAGGCGGTTGCTATTCTGAAAAGGACAAAAGGAACAGTCACTTTGACTGTTTTGTCCTGAGCTGGCTGCCCAAAGGGGTATGGTCAATAAGACTATATTATTTACATTCCACATAGCAAAGAAAATGGAAATGTTTATATAGCCTTCTTGCTCTTCCAGCTTCACAGGACTATGTTACAGTGCTGAAGAAAAAATATCATTTACTAATATTTTTGTATACAATAGAAGTATTTCTCTTACTGTCAAACCACTGGAATGGAGTTGTGTCAACTATGGAAAGACATGGATATTTTTCCGATTGATATTTCTATGAATTCTTGTAAACCACAAAATACAACAACAACAACAAAAAAAAGGTTTGCATTAACAACTGCACAACAAAACTGGAACGTTTTGCAAAGAGGCTTTGGACATTTGAAATATGTTGGAAAAATGATATAGTCACCAAATTAACAAGGAGGTGACATGAGCATCAGTAGTCAGAAAACAGAAATAAGCTTATTGAAGAAAAAAAGTATTAACAAAATGTGTAATTTTAGGATAAGAAAGAAGAGTATGTAACCTGGAGGCAGATAATTAATGGACTTAGATGGTTATTTGTATTATTTCACAATGACCAAGTAGAAGGAGTTGGGTGGGTGACTTGGGTGGGGTTTTTTTGCTTGTCTTTGTGTTTAAATTTCCTAAGTCATGGTGTATCCAAAAAAAAAAAAAAAGAAAACTGTGGTTTGGTTTAGTTTGGCTTAGGTTTGGGGGCTTGGACTTGAGTTTTTTTGAGGCGGGGATGTGTGTGTGTTTATTTTGAAAGGAGAAGACTTGTGCTCAGGACTGAAAAATCTGTTTGCTTGTGGAAACTACTCTGGGTGAAAGAGAGTGCCCAGCAACTGCAGTATTAGAAGAACTAGACTTTTATTTCATAATAGTAGTGTTTTCCAGCCTATATGGATGTGAAAGCAGCCTTCCCAATATGAAATGTGTGTAAGTGGAGGTTCTCCTCTTCCAGTGTGCAAGACTAACTACAGGCTCAGTGCAGACATTTCTGCAGGCAGCTCAAATCAGAGCTGCTCAGAGCAGATTTACTTGGCTTCAGAGAGACTTGTGGATATTGGATAAGCCACAGTGGAAGAAGGTTCTGTTACGGTGTTGCTGCAATTATCAGTAGCAGCAAAGGTAGAGTTCTCCTTGGACTGAGGAGGCCTAAAACCAGGAGTTGAAGGTGGGTAAAAGGCTGAACATCCCTCCCAGTGGAGGTTAGTAGTAAGACAGCAGTAAAGGTCTTTCTGCATCACCATTAAGCAGAAAAGGAGATATGAGGACCACTAATATTGTTTTGAGGTGATTAATTTTAGAAGAACAAATATGAGAGTTCCTAGTAAGATGAAACCATGGAGCTGTTCTTTGGGCAGCAGTGTGATCAATAAATGTATCAACATCCTCAGTTTCCTAAGTTGGCATCCTCACTAAAACTTTATGCAAAAAAACCCACTTGAAACCTGTAGCTGATTGTAGCCTGACTTTGCCTCTACTCCTTCAAACTGGGGCTCTCAGGAGTCTGGCAGATAAATCACGCTTTAACTATGATTTAACTTCCTGCAGAAGATTTTGCCAAGTCTTTTGAGGGAGAAGGATACCTAGCTAATTAGCATTCTAATTAGCAGCAAGATCTTTTATGTAAATTAGCCAAAAAATTGTAGCAAAAAGGCCACCATCTCAGTTGTCATTCAAGAGAAATCTGAACTGAAAATACAGGCAATGGTCAGACCATTATTAGAGGAAGACACGAAAGACTAGCATTTCTTTTAGTGGGATACAAAAACAGTATGAAGAATGTTTGTGAATAGTATTAGCAAATTGATAGGTATTTCTAAGTGAATTAACTCAAAGAAACACCCTTTGTCTCTAACTATTCTAGCAGTTACACTGTGGTAGGCTAAGATGAAAGAAAACAGAAGGTACTGTTACTGAATGCTGTTGTTATTGCTCTTCTATACTTACTCCTTGGTTAGAGTGAGAAATGCCTACATTTAGAGTAAGCAAAGTCACTTTAAATAGTATCTATATTTGTAACAGAACTAGTGTACGGCTATTTTGTTACTGCTGTGGTGTCTAAATGGAGGATTTAAGTGAATAAATTCTAACCTGTCACGATGAAGAAATGAAGTTGCAGGTGTGTTTTTTATTGCTGTACACTGACATGCTTGCATTGTACATTCTATTGTGAAAGATAAATTAAAACCAATTTAAACTAATAATTTAAAAAGAGGCATTGTTCTTTATGTGAACCTTAAAACATCTGCTAAAAATTGCTATGTTTGGTTTCTATTTTTATCTTCACTTGCAAACTCTTAGCAAATCCATGAGACCAGATGCCCAAACTATCTAGGAATTGATATGAAGCTGCCATGCTTTTTTGAAACAGGCAGCATTAATAATTGTTTAGTCTGTTTAAAAAGCATTCCTTCAGGCTATGAGGGATCAAAACAGTGAGCCTTGGACCCTGGGACTTTGCTTTGTAGCTGTGACCCACACTGCTGCTTCAGAGCACAGGATCTCGCTGCGATCCCCATGCTGGGAAGGCTGTTGAATGACCACTGCTTAGTGGTTGCCAGACACTGGACCATGAGGTGTAATAAACTATGCAGGTTTAGGAAGTTTGATTTTCTATATCATGTGATACGAAAGTTGCATTGAATACATTTAGTCCTGTAAATGGCAGGGTACTGTGGTCCCAGTTCTGTCAAGTCTTCTAGTTTTGGTTATGTTTCTTCCATGTGACTGGGTTAACTATGGGATTTGACAGGTTGGAGCTAAAGGGCCTGGCATCTTAAAGGCTCCAGCCCATTGTCTGTTCAAATACCCAGTCCTTTATTTAACTTTGCTTACCTCTCACCTATTCAATGCTAGTAATCTTAGAGTGGTATTAATGAAAGAGGCTGTCACTTTTTGTAAGCATGGGTGTGGACAAAGGAGAGCTGACTTATGGGAATGCACATATTTAATTTCCTGGAAATGAGCAGGCATCCTTGGCATGGCTGCTTTCCTATTCATTCTTCTGCTGGATTATATTTCTGGGTTAGCTTTATAGAAGCAATGGTATTGGTAATTCTCAGTTGGGAGAGTGGATGGAATTTAGTGGCCATTGAGGATCCCTTCCCTTCACCCTATCCAGCCCCTTTTTAAAAGAAAAAAAAAGAAGCTGTATATTCTTTAGATCTAGACATGGCTTTACCTGAAAAAAAAAAAAAAAAAATCAAAAAAACAAAACTCAAACAAACAAACCAAAACCTAAAAGAAGAAAGAAGTTGTCATCTTTGTTCTTAAGTGGCAAAAAGATATTTTGTTTTACTGACAGAGACTTGCAAGTAATGTGGAGGAACTTAATACTTTTAATAGTGTTTTGCAAAGAAAACCTTATCTCAAAGTGAGAGTGACATTGCAAAGAGGCTGGTAGTGGTTTCCCACACACACCTTTTTCTTGCTTTTTAAAAACAAATTCTTTGAAGCATCGAAAATACTCGCGTAGAGAGCACTTCTGTCTTAGGCACCACTTGAAACTACTAAGAATAGATAAAAATTTTCACTTCCGTCACAAACACTATTAAAACTTTGAACACTGTCACCGTTAGCATATTCAACAGCTGCAATGTACATGCAAGCTGGTTTTATTAATTTCTGAATTGGAGATCATGCATCTTCCTCAACAGCTGTGTAGATCTTGATTTTTTTAATGCATTTTAGTTCATAGCCACTGTTTCAGGGTTATGTATTAGCTTGAGAAGTTGTGCCACCAGTATTTAGGAAACTGCTAATAGTATCAGGTTAGACTGATCCATTTCAAACACTTGAGAACAGCATACCTTGTAATGGAAGATGATGCATAAGTAGATCAAGGTTCCTAGTTTTTTGCCATATGTTTTCATTCTCCTGTGGTGAAATCTTCCACAATACTGTTGAACTTTCTACTCCCAGTGAAAATGGTCATGCAAAATGGGCAGAAAAAAATAAGTGTTCCTTCTCATATGAGAATGAAAATAAGAATAATTTCTGATAAGCTACTGATCCTGAAAGCTGCATCTGAGGATAACAAAACTATCCAAATTGGATTATTAATTTTTAACTCAAGACTTTTTGTTAAGTTGAAGCAACAGATTGTTTTTAAAAAGTGAACTAAGCAGGCTTTCACTCAGTCTTCCTCATCAAACTACTTTCTGGTCAGTCCATTTTTTTTGGTCTTCAGAGAGTCAGTTTAAATATATAACTTTATTATTATTATTATATAAAGGGAGTGTTTGTATCACATACAAGAAATCTTACCAGTGTCCTTAGCTGTGAGTGTTACATTGGATATTTTAAGTGCTTGCAGTTAGATGTCCAGTTTTACCACAGATAAACAAGAGAAAGGTTTTTGTCTAAGATGGGAGGCTTTGAATTTGTCAGCACGTGATACTGTTTTCTGGTATTTCAGCCTTTGGCAGTTTATTGGTTAAAATTACACTTCATTAAGTATAGTTCAATTTAGTTAAGAGTATACTTTGAGCAACTTAGGCATTATAGCTAAAAGGGAGTGAAAGTTCTTCATATTTCTATGGGATGTGGATTACCTTTTTGAGACTCCCAGCACTGGTCAAGAACAGAGTGTCACACTTTGGTGTGTTTTCAGAGAATTTTTTTATGCTCCTCACTGTTCATAGCTGCAGAAGAGTGCATGAGACCACGTAGCACGACTTGGGGGACTGAGACCATGGGGGAGTTCTTCTTGGTGCTTTATCCATTTTCCAGAACCACACACCGGATGGAGATAAGGGAGCGTGAGTTTCTTGTTGGGCACCTCACACAAGCACTCAGGTTAGGCACATTAAAGATCTTTGCGGGCTGTAACTTTCAAGTACCTTCTCATCACAGGAATGCCATAGCCACCACATCCAGCACTTCAGAGTTTCACATTATTGGGGATTTTACAGAAAGTAATGGAAGCAGCACCTTGGGTAGTTAATAAGAAATGGGTTATTCTCTGTTTTGGGAGAATCTTTGTCTGGAACTGTCAAAGACATACACATTTTGGTTTGGCTTGAAAAAATTTATTCACTACTCGGTGTTAAATGTGAATATGTCTGATGGGAGTAGAAAGGTCAGAGTTGCAGATGACTTATATAAATATCAATATAATCCTAATGGTTAAAGCAGCAAATGTTCACTGGAATTCCTGTTTGTAACAGGATCCACCGAGGACAGATGATAATAAAGATTGTCATCAGGGAAAACATTAACATTTGTTACTGTCACCAAGACCAGAAGATCGTTAGAAGTGACAGCGTTCATATTTTTGTCATACTCTTTTAGTAAGTTCACATCAACTCTTTTTCCCAGATTTTATACTTTTTCCCAACTGTAAAGTGCCTGCAAAGAGCTAATAGGATGTTATTCTTCTGATATTTTTGGGATGGAAAAAAAAATGACTCAGTCATTGTTTCAAATATGTAATTTTCTTGGTTTTGATGAATATATGCAAATACAGGTAGTGAAGGTCACTTAGTGTTAGGATTCTCTTGGGGAATCCAAGCAACTCCAAACCTAGTGCCTGGGCTGGAGGCTTCATTTTTGGTAGTTGGGGATTTAAATAGGACAACTGACACATATAAGGTAGTAAATTAGTGTTGTTTCTGGGTAATCTTAAACGCTGGATGATACCAGCTGCATCTGTAGCTTTTTTTTGCATGCACTTAGATGGTTCACTGCTTGAATTCTCATGTCTTGGAGAAGTTCCTGTAAAGAGAAGGCTTAGGCTCCACCATTTCTCTTGGAAGTCATGCTTTAATGGAAAATAAGGTCCAGCAGTGTTTTGGAAGAGTAACTAGGTTTCTGTCTGAGGAATTCTGAGTTTAGTTCGCAGGTGGACAAAACATCTGATGCTGTTGCTGATGGACTTGCTCTCTGAGAGATGTGGGTGTAGCAGGCTCCCTGATGGGATTGATGCATAGTCGGCTCTCCTCAGTCAGCATACAGGTGTTTACCACAAATCTGATAAACTTCACTGGCAGTCCTAGAAGTCAGGGGGTTTTTGGTTGGTTGATTATGGGTGTTTTTTAAGGTCTAGCCTTTAATATCTTGGCCTGAATTTAAAGATTATGCAAAGATCCTGCATTTGTTCTACCTTTGTCTCCAGTTCTACCATGTACTTCACTTTTTAAGTGTATACATAAGGAAAAGTAATCCACTCAGATTTATTGTTAATGTAGAGTCAGAGGTTGTTCTAACCAAATATGTGTGCTAATTACTTCACAAAAATGTTTGTGGACAACATCTCCTGGTGAAGCTTTTGCAGAATCTTTCACTACACTGAATGACAGCAGTGATTGCCTTTGTGTCAAATTGTGTGTCTAACAAAGCCTTTGCAATAAGTATAAATCTGTCCTGCCAGGAAAGTGAATTGCTCAAGTCAAGCTGGGAACCTCCTGGATTGATCTGAATTTCCTATTATGACTAAGCATGCCCTCTTCCTAATCTGTGCCTTATCTCCCTAGGAACAACTTGGCTTTTGTTCATGCCAAAGGGCAGCTGACCATCAGAATTCTGTGTATATAGTTTCTTTCCCTCAGGAAAAAGGCCTTTACTTTAAGTGTACATAGTTTCTTTTAGCCTGGTATGTTTAAGAATGGAGTACATTCCAATTTGTGCTTTCAGGGCAATGAAATTGTATTTGAAGTTGAGAAATGTTTGGGTCTGGGATACTGGTGCAATGTTTGTGAAGCTAAGAGCACCTCATGAAGTATGAACACAGTCCAGACTTCCCCACTGCTAAAAGCTTTTTATTTAGGCCCATGTCAAGGATCTAATGTTCTTAGGACTGTTGCTTTTATGTGTAGGAACTGTACTCAATTTTACTGACTTGATAGTTTGAACATACGTACTTGTATATATTATTGACACTCAGACTTGAGTTTAAACCTTAAATCTGTTGGTCAAGCTATCGAACCTCTTTGATCAAGCCCAAAAGTGGCAACCCTGAATTAGATTGGTTTCCTTCTCAATGTCAAGAAGAAGATGAAAAAAGATAAAATCTCGGACAACAACCAGCAAGGAGACAAAGGTATTTGCTGGCGCCAGTCAGCCTGTTTGCTTTTCTCTGTATTGAAAGGAGGCTGGAAGTGCCCTAGTC